TCACGTAACCCCCTTAACAACCACGCGCTCACAGTGAGTGCGACACTACCCTGATGAAGAGTAACCATGTTGATTCGGCTTGGATGGATCAGCCACTTGACACGTTGGAAATAGAACCGGGCACCAAAACATAAATATCACGTCACCCCGCACCGAGATCCTCACTCATTTTGTATATATACACATTTCCTTTGTTGATTCGGCGTTCTGTTCGCTCGTTATCTGTTGTTGGTGGTCTTCGGATCTGGATACGGATACGTGTCGAGACTTTCGCGTGGAGTTGACTAAGTCAGCGTCAAGCCGGAAGCGTCTTGGCACGTTGACGTTGATTTATGCTTTTATACGGTAGTACGCCCGCTGCCCAATTAGAAGGCGCCGCCGGCCACTAGGCTTAGATGCGTGTATGAATCAATCAATCAATCAATCAATCAATCAGTCCTCGACAATACTATGTATGCAATTGTTGATATTTTCACTCTATATTCATTTATTACGTGTAAATAAGCGTGATCTGTCAGTTAATTTAATTTGAAGCAATATAGATTTAAAATAAGGCTTTCATGATGTTCCGGGAGTTCAGGAGTAGAAATGATATATTCCTGAGATTGACATTTTGGAGTAAAAAATGATTTCTGTTCATATTGCCCGACAACTTGTTAGATTCAAGGAAAACTATGTAAAATTTTATATCCTAGAATATTTCTAGCTCAGCTCTCCCTATATCTCTTATTTGATAAGAGTTAATTGTTAAATTGTACGCGGTATTGCTATATATGTAAAATCGAGTACGTTGCTGGACATGGTGTTGAACAAAAGTACTGCCGAGTATCTCTTACCGCCTTCCCAATTGGGACTAGATCAAATAAGTTCGCGAACCTCGAATCGAATTCGAATCGACTGTGGGTTCGAATTCGTACGAATAGTCATATTCAGGATTAATTCGAATCGAATCGAACTAGGAAAAAGTTCGATTCGATTCGATTCGTACGGAGCGGTAGATAATGATCCTCAAGAATCCTGATAGTAGCGCCAGTTGAATTGCGTACTGACCCATTGAAGAGCTGCCACTGTAGGAGAGTGGGTAGAGAGCGTGATAATGAGATACGAATATAGCTTCGATTTCCAAGGTAGGGTACGATTCGTAAGGTAGCTATTTGCTACCTTCTGAGTCCTATTCGAATCGTAGCTAAATACATAACTAGCCGAACCGTAGTGCGGTTCGGGTAGTGACTAAGCAGTCGGTGTCGGAACGTTGGTTTACTAGAGCGATGACTAAGCGAAGGCGAGCACTAACGTAATCGGTAAGCGAAGCGACAATGTAAGCGAGCCGACAGTTTCTCTCCGAACGCGTACGCAATATTGAATTCAAATCTCAATTTCTAACCCAAAATTATAATTATACACAAAAAATTAATTACTAGTAAGATTAGGGCATTGAGGTCTTCTATGCCCGAGAATATTACACTCACTACACCGAAATTGGCGACGTACTGGTGGATGAGAGACTGGGAGCTCAGGCTCGGCCGGAGCAGTGGTAACAGCTTGAGATGCCTCAACCTGACCTTGTAAAAGTGCCTGAGCTTCCTCTCTGGTAATTCCTTGATCATGGGATATTTGCTTTTTAGATTTTTGACGTTTTTGCTTCTCCTTCTCATATGCAGCCCGTAGATCATGGAGTTCCTTCTGGGTAATTGTAAGCTCATTAATACTCATCTCATAAGCCTTTGATGCCCGTGTAAACACTTCACCAATAGCTTCAGATGAACTTCTTGTATGCCGGCTTATTCTCTTTTTCATTGTAGTCATTTGGCGCTTAAATTAACGTGGGTTTTGAGAGATTTGCAAGCAGGATGATTGTGTATCACTTGATCGACTTGGAGGGGGTGTTGGAGTCTTCAATCGAACAGTAAGCTGTTGATAAACTCAATCTGGATTGAATGGTACTAATCCAGTTACTGTAAAGCTATTCCGAACAGTTTGGGCTTTATATGCCATCGTACGAGCCTTTGGGAATGCAGTAAGAAAGTCAAGTTTATCAATATGATTAAATCCAAGCCTCATTTGCTGCTCAACAAGCTGTCCATAATGTCGCTTTAAAACAGCAAAACAGCCAACATCAAGAGGCTGTAAAAGATGTGAAGAATGAGGAGGCATACAGACTGGAATAATATTATTCTCAGTGCATGTACGGTCAAATTCAGCAGTCAAATGACTTCCATGGCCATCAAGAATTAACATGCGATAATTTCCCATTGCACGGCCATTAGTAAGAGGAATAAAATGGGTTTTAAGCCATTCTAACCCAATCTTATCTGTAGTCCATCCATTATCACTGATATTGATTCTCCAGTCATCAGGAAGATCCTCAAACCAGCCTAACCAAGTATATTTCTTTGCCTTGAAAATGATATATGAAGGCAGGGCCCATCCAGTTGAATTAATTACCTCAATTGCAGTCACCCATTCTCGATTTCCAGGCTGTAATAGCTTTGGCCGAGCATATCGATCGCTTCCAGTAATAACCTTTGCGGTTGCACAGAGTCCCATAGCAAAGCCAGTCTCATCAAAATTGCAGATATCTTCTAGTAAGATTCCGTACTTTGATATAACCTCTCGTACGCGATCAAAATATTCTTGGATTAACTTCGGATCTTCGCATTTAGCACGCTCGTAGTTATATTTCCGTGAAAATTTTGATTCAATCTCTGGGCGACGTTGAATGAGATTATAGACCCATTTCTCTCCAACCTGTTGATTTCCACGTTGTGAAAGAAGGTAATTAGCCATCTCTCGTACAAGAGAGTGCCGAGGGGGTAATCCACGTTTGTCTAGATCGAGTACCCATTTGACAAGTGATTCCTCTTCAAATTGAGACAATTTATGTCCATTGGCACGTATTATAGATCTTTGTTGAATTCCGTTTAACCTGTCATATAGCGTCGTCCGAGGAATATTGTAAATGATTGCAGCTTGATACACACTTGAGATTTTTCCATTTTTTAAGTCGGAAATAGCTAACAAGATCCGCCCCTCTTGCTCTGCTAAATTCTTTTCGTTTTTATTGCGAATTGGTGGCATGTTGACGCGTTGAATAGTATGGAATCAATATTGAGTACGCGTTCGGAAAGAAACTGTCGGCTCGGTTACATTGTCGCTTCGCTTACCGATTACGTTAACGTACTACACGGGTCATTCGGTCACCCGCAAGTCCCATACAAAATGACCTTCTTTAACAGCTTGATTTCTCAACAGATTTATATATAAACCGTATCTAAAAGTTGAATATGTCTTATAATATAGGTATCATAATATATATCTGGATTTAAAAACTCTAAAAATATTAAGAACCCTCTGTCATTGAATTTACATTAATAACTAAAGTAAGTGATTAATCAAGGCACAAGATGGATATACTAATATTATATTCCAGATGACTTCTCCACTTGCTCCAATATTCGAACTTCCCCATACTAGAAAGAAAAAACGCAATTATGTGGCCCTTAACAAACATGGTCTCTTTGAAGGGGATATATTACTTCCAGCATCTAGAAAAAAGAAAGTAGTCCATACTACAAAATCGCCTAGCACTAGGATTTCAGGATCTCCAGCAGCTGACAGTAATGTTTCTCAAAGCTTATCAAACCTCGATACAGAAATACACCCTTCGCAGTCAATATCTCAGGTGGAATGCAAGGCTAGGAGTATTGAAATCAAGCAGAGAGATGAGGCCAGGCCAAGAGAGCGGAGCTAGATCTGGAAATACTTCTTAACAACACCTGAACCTGGTACCTGGAAACTAGGGAATAATAAACGGCCTAAGCTTAAACATCTATGTATTGTATTACCATCTACGTGTCAATTCTTTCAATTTGCATCTAAACTATAATCTTCAACTACAGCATTAAAACAGCATCTCTAGCAGACTCATAAGCTCTCAAAAGATGGTCTTTTAGAGTGCCAAGGACCATTAAGTTCATGGATTTTAAAGGAAAAAAAGCTTCCGTTTGAGGAAGCTCTCTTAAATTGGATTATATTAACCTCCCAGCCATTTACATGCGTCGAACAGCCTTCATTTAAGACTATGTTGAGATCTACTGGGTCCCAGGACTCTATACTAAGTGCAGATACTATCTTATGTCGATTAAGTCTTTGGCTTGACGCTGTTGATAGTGAATTACGAGGCTTAATGTCTTCAGCCTCCTCAATAGCGCTATCTCTTGATGGTTGGACAAGTCAGAATTCACTGCCAATGCTAGCAATTAATGCTTACTGGATGTCCTCTGATTTTCAGCAATATCAAGCTTGCATTGAATTTGTTGAAATTAAAGGAAACCACTTAGGAGAAAACTTAGCTAATATTGTAACTATAGCTCTTCAGAGATTTCATATATCTAATAAAGTTATAATAATTACAGCTAATAATGCATCTAATAACAACACTTTATACCAATATCTTCACCAGAAGTTATCTTAGAGCTATGATGATTATCTAATAGAGACTATTATTCAAGAAGGAACGATGAAATTTACTCAAAATTCCCAAATCCGCTGCTTTGCTCACATTTTGAACTTGGTTATGAAGGCTATATTAAAGTCTCTATGTGCTAGTTTGCATAAAGAAGCCTGTGATCTTCTTAATGATATTGCTAAGCAGAGTTGGAAGAAGATTAAGGTGCCTTCTTTACCTATTGTAAAGCTTCGAATACTTATCCTTTGGATTGCACGATCTCCCTAGCAAATATAGAAGTAGGATAATCGGCCTGGCTGCACTAAAGCTATCAACTACGACGTCAATACTAGATGGAACTCTACTTTTATCATGATTGAGAGAGCTGAAGAGTGCCGTCGGCAGCTTAAAGATACAGTCAATGATGAGCTAGAAATTGAAGCCTTACATCTTACATCTAACGATTGGAGGCAGCTCTCTGATATCAAGAAAATTCTGGCTCCCTTTAATGAATATACTGAGTATATCTCTCGAGATAGCCCTTCAATTCATATGGCTGCGCGTCTATATGAAGAGCTCCATTCTATGCTGTTAGCTATTAGGAAAAGACAGAGCGACTAGAAGAATCTCTCAGCTAAAGCAACTATTCTTGTTTCTGATGGAATCTCACTCCTGGAAAGGTATTACGACTATGTTAAATGCAATAATATATACTATATTGCAAGCATTCTAGACCCTCAAATCAAGACTAAGTGGCTCAAAATGTTACCAGATGGAGAGAAGATTATTGTCCGAATCAGGGCTTTTCTAAAGAAAGCATATCCTGCACAAAAAAAGCCTATATCGACTGCTCTTAGTGCAAATTATAAGAGCTTGGAATATCGTTTTCTAGGGACATTCCAGCCTACCCAGTATAACATTTCTAAGTCAGATATCGACCAATATTTTGATACTCCTACGATTAGTACTGGTTTTGATCCAAACCAGAGTCAGACTGAGTTTATAAGAAACTGGTGGAAGGCCAACAAGCTTAAATTTCCTTGTATGGCCAAGGTAGCACAAGATCACCTTACTATACCAGCAGCAGAGGTAGATATAGAGAGATTGTTCAATGGCGGGAGAGATATATTAGGAATCCGACGCTTCTCTATGAATGGTAGGACTCTTGGGACTTTATTAAGGCTGAAAGACGCTGCACGCTGGAAGTCTGAATAGTTTATTATATGCGTAATTGGCGTATTTGGAGTTATTTATGAATTTGAAGCTTTCTTTTTAGGATTAATGGTCCCTAAAAGCCTGTTTTTGTAAGAAAGCCAGGGATATAGTTCGCGAACCTGTTCGAAATTCGCGAATTTTGACGAATCGAATTGCCCGTGGATTCGAAGTTCGAAAATCAAGGTTCGAATTCGATTCGATTCGTCGATATTCGCGAATTTCGAACAGTTCGAAAATTCGTGCGGAGCGGTATCATTATCAACTCCAGCGCTGCACATACAGAACATCTTCGTAGGCTAGGCACAACCGCGGTGCTAGATCTCCAGGCAGCACCCAACGACTTCGCTAGTGCAATTGGAGACGATGCAGCACTTGACTCCATTCTTGATACCATCTCTGCTAATGTCACCAAGCAACTATCGGTGGACATAGTCAAAGCAATCAAGTTAACGAAAGCGGGAACTACTCGAATTATCACTGTTAAGATAAAAGAACTGGACTTTGAGGCATTTGACGCCGATAACGAACCAAAAGCAAATTTTACTACGATTCTTGGTACTGGCAATCTCCCTTCGCTTCGGTACATGAGTGAACCATTCGCAAAACCTCTTGGAGGAAATGAAGATTACATTGCTCGTAGTCTCTTTGAGCCAAATCGGCCAGTTGTCTTGCTGGAAGGTTGAGGCGGTATAGAGACTACTTTAGCTAAGAATAAGAATGGTATTTCCGGGGAAAAGGTAATCATTAGGCCCTGGGAATAAAAGATCCACACGACTTAGGATGTCAATGGAGGGAGAGCCTTCGATCGTAGCGTCTAACCTTATGTAGCATAAATCTCTGCTGTACGAACTGGATAGAGGTGACAGTTTAAATACAAGTTTTGTGCCTCTTTGCTGGAAAGATATTTTTCATGCTTGTCACAAAGCCAAGAAAGGGTATGCGTGATGAAACTCTCTCCCAATTTAACGAAGAGATGGATGGGTTTAATTAACTGTATAATGTGGTGACTTATAACCCTCTAGACGTAGAGAATCTTTGAACGCAAGAAAGGAGGCAGTATCAAGATCCAATCCACCAGCCGATACTCCCCGTATTCAGGTTTCATCTAAACAAGCTTATACCAAAAGGGTGCAATGCTACTATTGAAAGTCCCACGTATCTCAATTGGCAGATCAAGTGATTAAAATATCTGCAGAACATCTAGTACTTGCAGTAGCATTCTGAGGTTTTCCGCAATCCATCCCGCATCAAAAGGAGTAAACCCAGCAATCCAAAATCTCGCATTGTATTTTGTCAAAGAGAGCCCGACTTCAATCAATTTAGTATCTGCCTTTCCAGAAATTCCAATTATTCACAGACCGAATGTCTAACAGGTGGCTGGTCTTACTCTCTACATGGCTAGCGCTACATGTAACTTTCTACGTCATTCATTTTTTTCCTCCTAAGCTCAGAGATCCTCGTGGAGACCGTTGATTAGAATCCAATGAATTGCAACTTCATCGAAAGTATTTTCCCGTTGGTCATTTCATCAAATCAAATTAGATCAAATGAAATGCGTTTCCTTGATTGTGTCCCGCCAAATTCACGCCTCTATCCTATCGTCCAGTACCGCGGAAGGTCGGTGAAAGATGTAGATAGATATATGAACATCGTTTCGATTATATTACTCTGCCTAGATTCAAAAATATATATAAGTTTATTGCCCGTCTACCAGTCATATCAATTGTTGCCATCCTTTGTACCTGCGGCAAGACATCAATCTTGATTTGAAATTTAACATGGCGACCAAAGTATTGGGTTTTGCAGCTATTGCTGCTCTCTTTCACAAGGTTACTTGTCAGCAAGCCCCTACGCCGGATAACATAGCATCCCTGCTGACCTGGAAGTGTACAAATTCCGGTGGTTGCATTCAGCAGTCGACATCTATTGTCGTGGACTGGGTGTATCACTGGATCCACACAGTCAATGGGAGCACATCGTGCACTACATCCAGTGGTTTGGACTCAAATTTATGTGGGTCGGAACAGGAATGCTACGCAAACTGCGAAATTTCACCTGCCACCTACGATAGCCTTGGTATAAAGACTTCTGGAAATGCCTTAACTCTCAATCAATACGTCACAAGCAATGGTACGATTAGTAGTGTCTCTCCGCGTGTATATCTTTTAGATAATGCCGGCAAGAATTATGAGATGTTGCAGCTTCTCAGTCAAGAAATTAGCTTTGACGTAGATGTCTCCAACTTGCCATGCGGCGAAAACGGGGCTCTTTACCTCTCTGAGATGGATGTTACTGGTGGTCGAAGCCAGTACAACCCAGCTGGAGCGTCATACGGTTCGGGTTACTGTGATGCTCAGTGTGGAACTGGTACCTGGTTCAATGGTTCAATCAACAGTGGTGGCCTGGGCTCTTGCTGTAACGAAATGGATCTCTGGGAAGCGAACTCCAAGGCAACGGCTTTGACACCTCATCCATGTAGCGTCGAAGGTCCCTACGGTTGTTCTGGTAGTGCCTGTGGTTCAACTGGGGTGTGTGACAAGAACGGTTGTGGATTTAACCCATATGCCCTTGGAGATCAGAGCTACTACGGCCAAGGGTTTATAGTGGACACGAGTAAGCCTTTTACAGTTACGACACAGTTTGTCACGAGCGATAACAGCAAGACTGGGACCTTGACCGAAATTCGTCGGTCTTACGTTCAGAATGGCAAGGTTATCGCGAATGCCGTTGCATCAGCGTCGTCGGGCTTCTCAGGTGCAAATTCCATTACAGAGTCTTTCTGTACTACGATGGACTCCGAAGCAGGAACACTTGGGGGTTTGAATACAATGGGTGAGGCCCTCAGCCGGGGCATGGTCCTCATTTTCAGCATCTGGAATGATGCCGGTGGATACATGAACTGGCTAGACAGTGGTAACTCGGGTCCTTGCAGTAGTACTGCAGGAATTCCGTCCACCATTGAGGCGAATGACCCCGGTACTTCTGTTACTTTCTCAAATATTAAGTGGGGTGATATTGGATCAACAGTATCTGACACTGGAGGAAGCGGCTCATCATCGTCGTCATTGATTTCAACAAAAACCAGCAGTACCACAACGACATCAGCGACGAGAACCGCAACCAGCAGTGGCGCAACTCAGACTCACTACGGTCAATGTGGGGGGATGTATTATACTGGCCCTACTGTTTGTGCCTCTCCGTACACTTGTCATGTGCAGAATCAGTACTATTCACAGTGCCTGTAGAGCCAGTACCAGTGTGTATATACTTATGTCAAAATTTCGAGGCCCTACGGCTGGAACTTCCGTCATTTCTATCATAGCAGCTCGTTAGAATTCAGTAGATTACTCTAAACTGGCTCTAGTTGTGACAACTTCCTGTTCATCATCGCAAGGTTTAAAGTCACTTTCCGAATAGATTTCGGGTGTTATCTCTGAGTGGGTTACTAGAAAAAAGCTTTAAAAGTTGGTTCCAGAATAGGCCAGTTGTCTCTACCATCACCATCATTGTTCGAAGGGTCGAGTAGATCTAGGGAGTCCACTCCACCAGCCATTCCAGAGATTCACGTCAGATGCCACTGTAGATTTAGCAGCTCGAAACTATGGAGCGGGATTGTATGTGGATCCAGGACTTTGTTCCAGACATAATCAAGGAGTTTCTGGTCTGGTAATACAGGCGAAGTGAATATGGCCATTCATGTAGGTCTGCAGGGAAGTCAGCTCTCTCACAAGTTGAACCAATATCGTAACTGGTTTTTGCGTTGCCCAGCTTCAACCAGTAGAATCTGAGGGTTAAAGATTTTGCGCGATCACTTGATGCAACTGGTTGCAAAGCGAAGGCGCAAGCGTCCCAAGCGCGGTGGCACATGACATCCTCAGTAATCATGTTTTTCTGGCTTCCAGTATAGCCTGAAGAACTGAGAGCGCCTTCAACCATGCCTACCTCGCTTTGAGGCAAGAAAAGCCCAAATCTCAGCCCTTGGTCCACTGACGGTCTGCATCATACTATTGTTAGATAATCCGGCTTTCAAACGAGGCAGAAAGATCGACTGTTCAATCTTACAGGTCTAAAAGGCACCTTTAGGCATATATCTGGGCACCTAGATTTCAGCCCAATATTTACCCCTCCTGATAGCTCACAAATCACCCCGCCAAAGGTGTCTATAAAGGACCCGGCTTTAAAAACTTGAAAGACAGACACAGAACTCAACAGATACAATCTTGCTAGTCACTTCTTTTCTTTGATCCTAGTAAAACACTCTTCAGGGTTGGCCTGGAATAAACCGACTAATCCGACAACTATAGAGATAAATCTGTGTCTCCCCTAGAACTGATCGCCACTGGGGTTTTTTTGCACGACGCAGCAACAGTTGCGTTCGAAAGCATCCAAAAGCTAGACTTGATTACAACAATAGTATATAGGCCTGCAAAAGAAAACGTACCTGTCCTGCAAAGTTTTAGTGGTTTGTATTCAAGCAGCTGCGAGGCCTTCCATGGGCAATGAGGGTAGACTTTCTTCTGCCTTCCGATTTTTGGCAGTGCGACGAGGCGTTGAAAGTCTAAAGACGGCTGGACTTTCAAGGACAGGAGTGTGTCGGAGTTGAAGGGCCAATGGCCGGAAGATATTCTGGACTTTTTCTCTCCATCACTATGCAACAAGTCAAAGTAGTATAACTGATTGTTTTGAGATGGCGGTTGTGACTCACATGTCTTGACGATCGTCTCCTGTAGAGGAGATGTCATGATAGAGGACATAGTAAATGGCCATAAAATGACTCTGATGAGCGGAAATGATCAGTAATCTCCTGCCAAACAACATGCAGATTTGCTTGGCGTGGTATGGTAGTAGGTGGGTTATGTCATTAACGTAACTTGAATATGTATATAGAAGAACTCGGGTATAATAAACGGGAGGCTTCCCAAGATCGAAGAACGGGAAGGTGAGAGAGAAAGAAGAAGTTGGAGGGGGTGATTGAGATGTATTTATAGGTAATAGTTTAAGGTAGCTAGTCATCCAAATCCAATTACAACCTCAAACATATTTCAAATCGTTTGTTGTCGGGCGTTGAGTCGTCTGGTCTCATTCTGAACGATCCATGTATAAGCGCTCTCCGCTTGCCATCAACAATAGACCCCGAAATGCGCGCTTTGATCGGAGAAAATGTCCTCGACTGATCTTCACTTAACTTTTTTGCCTTTACCTATGTGTAGTGGTATCTAAGGTAAGCTCAGGAATATTACATGTACAATACAACAAGGCTATAATAAAGGGAAGGCCCTCTTTATTCCAAAATGCTAGCTTCCAAGGTTGTTACTTCAACATATATCCAGAGACCCCAGGATATGTTGAGTGCTCTCCTACCTCTTAGTCCTCCCCTTTCAGACCCCTAACCTTGTTCTTATTTTTTGCACTGCTCAATTTGCAATAGCGTCTTACGAGACTCGTAGTAATGGGGATAGTGCTGCGTTTTGGAATTATTCAACTCTTTAGATAATGATCAATCTGGGAACTGCGTGTTCTCGCCAGTTAAGTCAATTTTCCAGGTTATTTTCCCCCTTTCGTGTGTGGAACCGGCTCAGAAATTGTCTTTGAGTCTGTGATGTTGAAGGAGAAATTGTTACTCGAAGCTACCCAACTCGGATTGCTTTACGATAGATGATTAATTAACTGTCCTAACTATTAAGTATCAACGACGCCCAACTAACCACGTACTTCCATTTGTAGTCATTCTAGAGAGCTTTCTCTAGTACTCTAGACCCGCTTTGGCACATAATAGCATTTTCTAAAACTAGATAGAGATGGAGATATCCATTATTGTCTTGGCGATGCGCAGTCCCTTGTTCAGTGTCGGTAACGCAACCAAGCTCGGATCGGCTCGTTACCTCCCGAGCTCTTCTCTATTATTGGTAAGCTAAATTTGAAAGAAAAGAAGAAAAAGAAAGAAAGAGAAAAAAGAAGAAAGAAAAAGAGAAAAAGAGACCATCTATTCCCGCTCACACTGCTCAACTCTGCTTTTGCCCCCAGAGTGGCTTAATACGCAGGGTGTTATTCGTCGCGCGAATCAATCAGTAACGTGGGAAATCTAGCCCCCATAGATGACTACTCGAAGGATGACGATCTCCACTCTGGTTATGAGCCAAACGAGGGAGCTGAATAGATACTTCACTAATCCACTGACACGATGATTCATAACTGCCAGCTTTCTCACTGGGGCCAGAATGTATCACCTTCGTATTCACCACTAAACTGCGAGATTCAATAGGATCTAGAATAAAGACGCTGCGGCTGTGGGTACTAGGATACGGCCTAAATCGTAGAAGGTTAGCTCTGGCGCTTCACTCTATTCCTATTATGCTTAAGGATAAATCCACCAGTGAAATGGCGTTATCCGAGGCCATCCGAGCAATGCGGGCCGATTTACGAGAGGGCGTAACAACATCAAACATATACGCAGTGATCCATTGCAGGTCTTATACCCAGCACCCGGCCATAAGCACCTTGTCGTTTCTGCATAGTCACAAGTGTTGTTGTCTAGGTATTGTCTGCTTCAAATGTTGTTGTCTCCGTATTAGCGAGCGGATGGTGGGTTTAGGCTCCGACCTATGGATGCGATGGTATTCACTTTACGGACGAAACGCGAACGGGCCAGTCGTCCCAAAGTGCGTACAGGATGTTTGACATGCAAGTACGAAAGACCTCCGGATCTTCCCACATGATCATTGATGAGCAATATGGACCTGCTCGCCATGAATGGTACAAGACTGTGGCTGTACTTACTAAGAATTTTTTTGTAGGATACGACATAAGAAATGCGATGAGACTCGTCCCGCTTGCCGAAGATGTACTAGCACTGGGCGCGTCTGTGATGGATATCAAATCACTCCGGACAGAAGAACACGATCTACCAAGACAGCTGTCACAGCTGTCGAGACCACCCTGGATAAAGTATATCCACTTTCGGTGACTCTGGCAGGGAGTGAACGAATATCGACCCCTGTAGGTTTGACAGATGCAAGTCAGATAGAACTGGTATGGCGGGAACGCTGGTATCTAGAATTCTTCCGCAACAACACGGCACTGCAGTGCTCGGGCTTTTTCATGCATGACTTCTGGCAAAGATTGGTATACCAGATAAGTGAGGAGGAGCCTGCCGTCCGGCATGCCTCCATCGCTCTGGGTGCGCTGCACTGGAACTTTGAGAGAAGCAAAACCGGCCAAGGAGAGCCGGATCCGGTCTTTCCGCTCCAGCAATGTAACAAGGCGATTGCATGTCTCCGCCTCCAGCTACATAGCACCTCTCGGCCGTATCGCGCCCACATGGAGACTGGGCTAGTCACCTGCTTGTTGTTTGTAGTGCTGGCATTCTTGCAGGGGGACGCCCATACTGCCCGCCGACACCTGCAGTCGGGTCACATTATGCTTCGAGAATGGCAAAATACTGTCTCGGAGGAAAATTCAGAAATCAAATCCACATTGGTCAAGGCTTTCGCTCACATGCAGCTACATTGGTCCACTGTTGCAGAGCCTGAGACGTCTACTGGTGAAGATGACATGGACACCGACGATGGTTATATACCCCTCAGTAATTTCGGCTTATCGGAAACCATCGACAGTCTCGAGAAAGCCGGCAACCTCCTGGTGGGCCTTGGTTGGATTGTATTGCAGGCTCACCCACAGTTATCCGCGAGTACGAAGGCTAACAACCTTCTCAAATACGAGCGGTCGACTATCTTGACGAAGCTCCAACGCTGGATGACGGAGCTTACATACTCCCTCGTCCGGCGCGGAGATGTACTAATGCCCCGTGACCGAGCCACTTTGATGGTCTTGGAGCTCTGGAGCGAGATCATTTATATCAAGGCCTCTACGTGGTCGGAAACCAATGAAAGGGTATTCGACAAGTTCTATTCAAATTTTCAACGCGCAGTCCAAATTGCAAAGGAGCTCCTCACTTCCAATTCGACTCGGTCGCCATTGCCCACCTTTTCCGTTGGGACGGGGATTATACCGCCACTCTTCTTTTGTGCGTCCAAATGTCGTGATTGGGTTCTGCGACGAGAGGCGTTGCTCTTATTACGCGGATGGCAACTACAAGAAGGCATTTGGAAAACTTCTCTAACAGCCCAAATACTGGAACAGCTCATCCAAATTGAATCGGAAGGATTTTTGCCCGAGGATGTCATCCCGGAATCTGCACGTATCGCTTCCATGCATGTCGAAATTCTACATGAGGATCAGAAAGTTCGTCTTTGGTATCGAAGGTCCGCGCATTTTGAGAAGAGATATATTCAACTCCTTTCCAATCCATAGTACGAATGGAACCGTGAACATATATACGTAATTTTCGTATTGTCACTTGCAATTGGAAGATGCTACCTAGCTATACTCTTTTTGCGAGTCCCTACAAATTGACCGTAAACGAGCTTTATCTAAACCTCAACGTTTACATTTGGCCCAGACAAGGTGTTTGTCATTTAGTGCTATGATTCTGTCGGATTAGTCGGTTTATTCCAAGCCAATCCTGAAGAGTGTTTTACTAAGATGAAAGAAATCGAGAGTGATGACTACTCATTAGTCTTCTTGGAGTTTTTGGTTTTTTATCTTTCTCCCTGGAAAACATAATATGATGGCATATCTTTAAGTGCAACGAAAGACTGAACTGCATCCTACCTAGATGCAAATGGTCCACAGGTACAGACAATGTGGTACACTTGAAACCAATCCAAGTACCAAGGCAGCCTAAGCTGCTTGACAGTAGGATTCTTTTCTCGGTGTGGAGGGCGTATCAACATATTTCAGTAGGATTAAACTCAAAATTCAGAGGTATATGTAAATATATGAAAAACGAGTACAAGCAATCTAAAAGGTCCATATATTCAATGTAACGCTGTACTCCGCTTTCGTTCCCTCTTTCAATCTCAAATTCCATTATCAAATTTATCGTCCCCCTTTCCCAGGTTCATGCCATATGTGAAACTATTGCTCGATCCTTCGCTCAATCGAGCGGTTGGGTCGAGTAGGACTTGGTGTTCCTCCGCGTCATGATACGGAGGTTTTTCCTTGGCTGTGAAGAGAGCGTTGTTTGCAATTCCAGAACGCAAATACTGAGCAGCTCTTTGTTGGCGCAACTGTAACCTCGCTCGATAACCTTCGTAGGTCGCTTCATCCAGCGTGGCGAAGAGATACTTTGGATGCACACCCAGTGCCTGAGCACCCTTCTGACCGAAGCCAAAGGACATCACTGAAAATGCTTTAACTCCTGTTGTCTGAATGCTACGACTCGGATATACAATGTAGTCATTTTGAAGAGCCGAGTCAATATTGTCTGCATTCCGATTGCCTGGCACTAAGCCGCTATTAAGCACCTGGAGGCCACCATTGAGCATCCACGCTCCAGCCGCACCTTTAGAATGTCCCGTAAGGTACTTTTGAAATACTCCAAGGGCAGGGTTTCCTTTGGTCCTTCCGAGGTGTTTTAGCTGCCTCTGGACAATGTCCACTTCATTCTTCTCATTTAGGACCGTGGACGTGCCGTGGAATGATACCACATCCAAGTCATCAATGGTCAAGTTCCATGTTGCTAGTGCTCCGCGGAGAGGCGATATCTCTGGATCATTTTTCCAAAAGTGATTTCCGTACTGGTTCAAGACATCTTTTTGCTGACGGACACCTTCCTGACGTATGTAGCGAATGCGTTGAGTTATCTCTTCAAGCCTCTGTTGCGCTGAAGGACGAGAACCACGTTTGAGAAGCTCCTTCTCTTGCTCGGCAGCACTGATTTCGTCAGCAACACGCTCTTCTATGCGATCAAGAGCGATCATAAGACGCTGTCTCCTATATGAGATATCAAGCATTGGGGAGCGTATGGCCAAGGGTGCTTCTCGCGCATTAGTCAAAAGGCCTCTCCCTGGTGCAGGAACCGACCGCCCGATCTTATCACTAGCAGTGCCAACCCATGCAATGATTCCCTGTATAGGAAGTCCCATATCCAATGCAAGCTGTGCAGATGTAATTATTTGTACTCCGCTGCCTTGGGACTCCATGAAGCCGGAGCGAGTCGAAGCTGCTGGTCTAGACATCTCTCGAGGGTCGCGACCTTTCTTAATCTCCTCTTCGCTGCTAACAGTGGCCTTCATCTTTGCAAATTCATACGAAACGTCTTCGGAAAAATCATCAAAGCCACCAACCAAACACATCTTGGCTTTCCCTGATACGATTGATTCAAATCCGCATTCAAGGGATTCGAGAGAAGTTGCGCAGGCGCCAACAGGAGTTCTAAGGGGACCCGTAGAAGACAACAATAGCATATTAATCCAGGCAGCTGTTGTGTTGATGAAAGATTCTTGAAGTATATCGTTTTGGACCTGCTTTTCAACAAAGCGATCTTTATGAAGCTTTCGTAAAGCTTTGACGCCGCCCAATCCGGACCCAATGCAGTTTCCGATCTCTGATACATGCAAGTATCGATAAATCTCGAAGGGATCAGTGATTCCTGCACCAAGAAGGGCTTCAACAGTCGATATGACCGCATATAGAGTCACAGGATCTACTTGGTTGATCAGATCATCCGTAAACCCATAGGTTCGAGCATCCCATCCCGTCGGAATCTGCCCAGCGACCGCTCTATCAAATCTTAAGGCCTTGGGTATCATTAAGCAAGCCCCCTTGAGCAACCTAATAGTGAAGTCTTCTCCATCTGGTATGACGTCCACTTTGTCTCCGTGCTCAAGTTGAAGCTGCTCTGCTACTTCTTTCGATGCCTTAAATGGAGCCATGTCATCTTCAAGAAGTACTTCCTGGAGAAATTTCTTTCTTTCTGGGTTGTAGCCATCATTGATTTCCGGTTCAATAAGCCGTATTCCAGAGTGATTTAAGATATGCTGTTCAAATCTTTTCTTGATATCAAGATCCTGGATCGGTTCTTTGGTTTCCACAATGATCCAGCCATGGTAATGTGCGCGTCCATTAAGTGGTCCGTTATGATGTTTTATTAGACCCATCATCCAAGCCATCTCAACACAGCCTTCGAGGGAAAATTCGCCATAAGCTTCCATCTCCCATCTAGTTCTAGAGTTTCCGTATGGGCCAACTTCAGAAAAGCCAGTGACCACGACTACTCGCTCCAAATCGACCATTCCTCTTAGATCTCGTGCAAGGGGTAGAATTTCAGCCTTGTAGTCAGGAAGTCGTGGGAACTGCATATCAATCCTCGCTTTGGGCTGTCTGGTTTCCACCAATCCCGCAATCGGCTCCCTTGTAAGGGACAGACGTTCGATCTCCTCTTCCTTTGCTAGGGCTTCTCGAATCTCACTGACTTCCTTCTGATGTTGACGAATGGAGCTTACTGCACCCTTAAAGTCTGGGAAATGACCCATTCCCCCACTTAAATCTGCGCTGACTGGTGTAATCTCGGACTCAGCAGCAATTGGTGGCGACATGAGGATGAGAATGTAATGGGCCATTTCGACCTGCGAAAAGGTTCTCACTCCTAGCTTCTCAATATCTTCGGCGACAGAATTATTGGCATTCATTAGACCTGTTCCACGAGTCCAGCCAATTATTGCTCCACATATCGATAGGTAATTGCCCCAGGACTCTGATCTCCATCGATTCGACAGGGTCTCTAGAGCAATTTTAGACTCTGGGTAAAGGCCATCTCCGCCAAACACACCGTGGTTAGGAGATAATGGCAAGATAACTTGGGCTGGATGACTATCAAAACCTCTCATATCCTTCTGGCGCTTGATAGATCCAAGGAGTCTCAATGTATTCGTTAACATCATGCGATGTGCTAATTCCGACTTCGAATCAATACTGTCAATTTCTCTCCCTCCCTCGGGAATGGCAGCAAACGGGATAACATGATCAAGGTCCCAACCAAGGCCCTTTTCACTGTCGTATATGTATGAGACTAGTGACTCGATGTCTTGCTGGCTGGCTTGATTGAAAGGTACAACAATGAGATGAGATCCACTCGCTCCTTCCTTGGCATACATCTGTTGATAGCGCTGTGTAGTTGCCAAAGAATAGTTGCTGGTCGTGACTAGTACTTTAGCACCACCTCTCAGTAGACCGCAGACTATCTCTGTCCCGATCGACTCACGCCCGGCACCAATAACAAGGACTTGCGCATTCTGGAATGACAAGGGTCGTGTATCTGAAAGGCGAAGTGTCTCTATGAATGCTTGGGTCAAATCGGCACGGGTTTCCCAGCCCTGTGAGCCCAGAGTTTTCAAATCTACTGGCGGAGTTGCTTCGATACCGGAACGTGGTACCTCAGCATATTGCACTCGACCTTGGCCGTCAATCATGGTCTTGGGAGCACTGATGACAAGACGATTTGCAAGCGTCTGTAAAGATTGTGGTGAGGACCCCGAATCACATGCAGTTATCAATCGACCAAGGATGTCTTCGATGTCTAGGGCCCTTGGGTTTTCGACGCCTGGGAGCAGGATTTTGAAATATTTCAGCGTCTGGATAAGCTTTGGATTCGATCTCCGAGCGATCCGACCCATCATGATCTCAACGGCACGCCCAGTAAGATCAATGCGACCGGAAAGAAGACCGTAAAATAAATCAATGGAATCTTGTAGTGCCCAGTTCCAGAAAGAGTCGTATTTGCGAGCTTTTTCGGCTGCAAATATTGGTTTGATACCGGAGGCATAGATATCCCCGTGCTCGGAAAGCCATAATTGCAGCTCGTCCTGAAGCTGTGAGATTGTCTCCTGAGCCTTACTTGCTGCCTTATCTCCTGCTCGGAGATCGTGTCCTAGTTGCTTCGCATACAACTCCAGAATGCTGTTTGTCCTCTCATCCTGGGTCTTGGCCAGCGCGGCAACGGCTGCTTGGTCGACAACGATATTCGTGTTCGTGCCAACTTGACCACTCGGGCTACTGGTGTTTGACAGATCGAGCTGCTCGTCACTGGCATACTCCGCCACAATGTTATCCAGGAAGGCCAATGCGCCGGCTGTATCGGGTAAACGGGACGCAGGTTGTTGGGCGACGGCGCGTAACAAGATGGCGCTTTGGCGGCTAGGCGGGAGACCCCACTTGCTGCGCAGGTGATCCCGTACAGGGCCCGAGCCCAACCCAGACGGCATTTTGGACGACATCAGCCGGTTGACCATTGCCTGCGTTGTCTTGCCCAGCGACTTGGACCACATCCCCTGAGTTTCAATTACTGCTGCCAGCTCAATCAGCTCCATATTTTCAGGGGCGTCCGGAACGGAGCCAAATTCACCGCCCAGGTCTCCCACAATCTCGTTCTCTAGTGTCGATCGGCCTAAACACATGTTAATGTCTTTCTGCGTCAAGTGCATACACCGCTCTTTTGCTCACCTCCAGCCAGCTGCTTGATAGTTTGCTTTCTGTCGAGCTCCCTCCATGATTTTTTCAACTTGTGTGCTATCAGCGCGACAATGATGTCGATGGCAGATAGCGGCTTATCCGCTATGCTGTTTGAGCCCCGACCAGTGGATAGTGCATTCTGTGTGGATGAGTCTGACTTAACGTCATTGGCGACTGTGGTAGGTTCAATAGCCTTTGCAGCCTGGGTTGATAAGGGTGTCGGTTCGGTGGGCTTCAACTTGTCAGGCGAGTCGGACACGTCATCGCCTTCACCTGATTCATAATAAAGTTCCTTTGCATGCTTCTTAAAGCTCAAGTACTCGCGTTGAAGGGCGAGCGCAGCGTCGTGAACTTTGTATTTCGTCGCCGCCGTCTTCTTGGCCATACCAAGAAGGGTCTCTGACGGGCCGATCTCGACTAATCGCTCAGACTTCTGTTGATGGAGTACAACATCTTGGGTTTCGATCCTGTATAACGACACCGTCTTAGTGAACGATAGTCCAGTGCCTGCTTTGACTTGTCGTGCTGATCTTACCATCGCACCGGAGAGGCAAATTGATATCTATTCCAAAATAATTTGTCAGCGTGAGTTGGTTGGTATGAACAACTTTGGGCGATCACTTACGCCAGAAGTTCCGTCAACAGTGCATAGCCCAGCTCTTTGCGAACGTCGGAACGCATTTTGTCCCCAACGATGCTGTCTGGATACCGATGTCTTTGGAAAGTTGCAAGACCTGCTATATTCATTGCCACTGCCGAATGGAACAGCTACAATTTATTGACCGAGACCGAAAGCTTGGTGTTTGATGATTTTTCTATTTGGTGTTACATTGACTTCAGCCCCCAAATTCATATATGGTGGACTCGCATTGCCATAAACTCCCCATCCACTCTCCACCTCGTACAATCTGATTCTTTGCCATTCATGACTCGCCGCATGGATCTGATGATATCGGAGATATTCATCGACTAGTGCTAAAGGCGCGTATATCTGTAATATTAGTTTCAGCCGCTCGTATATTAAGCTTGTATGTGTAAAATACCAAATATACGGCTAATGTATACGCGTAACACTGGTAAATTTCCTTGTGGCTTGCATGTGGATTCTTTCTATGGGGCCATTACACCCAAATTAGAATTTCCTGGTTTGTTTCGAACCATAGCTTATCAAGTCATAGGTTGGTGTTATACATAGCATTAGATGACAACATGCTGTAGCCGCAAGCGACTGGGTATGCCGTCCTTGGGACAAAAATAAGTCCAAAGTGTTGCATGATCACCATCAGGAGAATGACGAAAAAATCATAAATTAGGATCTCAGTACCAAGATTTTCTCTTCAGTCTGAAAGTCATATCCATTCATATATTCCTTCTTGTTATCGCATTCGTGCAACAGACCTTTCAGACAAGATGTTGCACAGTTCTGTCAATGAGCCCTGGCATTCTGTCCAGATATCTATTGCTGCATCCTTGGGAGGACTCTTTTTTCTGGTAATAATTCCCATATGAAACTCCTGCTGGTCACGCCTATTTACCACTGTATATGTAGACACTGCTCTTCTGTGCCTATCAATTATGGTTTCATCCTCTGGCTCGCTATCCTGGGCCATTTCTAGCAAAATTCACTCGACTGTATGCTGGCTGGCATGCGTGGAAAGGTGACCTGCATATTGATATGCAGCGCTGTCATGAAAAATATGGTGAGCATTCAAAGACACGTGGTCTCCTGGATGTCTGATGTTGACTGCGCGATAGGCAATTATGTCCGTTACTCTCCGAACGCACTATTGCTGAATACCAGCACTGGGCTTCACGGTATGGACCCCTGTAAAAGAAGTCTAAGCTAGGTGGTTAACCAATTGATGTTTAGATGTCTATGGATATAAGAGCAACACACAAAAGTCACAGTTATACAATGCTATGGTGCACCGGGCGCCCAACACTCTTACACTAATCAATAAGAAAGCTCATGGCCGCAAGAGAAGAATCATAAGCCAAGGACTTTCTGACGCTGCTCTTCGCCGATACCAACCCGCGATCCTGAAACATGTCAATGAGCTATGTTCCGTTTTGGTTGGATCAGACGTGAAGCAATGGTCTATCGCTCACAATATGGCACACTTTTGTATGTTGGCGACGGGAACTATGCCTTGGAAGTTGGTTTTGAAGATCGTATACTAATCCGAGTCCCTATTAAGGTAATTATCTGACATTTGATATCATGTCAGACGTCCTCTTCGGTGAGGAATACAACACAGTGACAAAGGATGAACACCGTTTCGTGGTAAAAGCCATCGAAGAGTCCAATGTTCGCACTTCGGTTCTATCGCAAGCCCCAATTTTGACTTTCAGGAGGCTGGACCGTTGGCTTTTTGCTAAATCCATCCAGGGCCGCAATAAATTTATTCAGTTCGTCAACAAGTTACTTCAGAGCCGGTTCAAGAGCGCCAAGTCTACACGTCAAGATGTCTTCACTTTTCTGATGGATGCAAAAGATCCTGAAACCCAGCAAAGTCTAACTTTGGCTGAAATTGGCGCCGAAACCACAACCCTTGTAGTGGCTGGTACGTGCATGTATCTAGGCTATCCAATTCACTTTCTTTTACTGATATTTCGTACAATCAGGATCCGACACTACCTCCACTGCCCTGGCCTCCACTATCTTTTACCTATCACATGACCCGAAATGGTACAATGTTGTTGCTGGAGAAGTAAGGGCAGCGTTTTCGAGTGTCGATCAAATTACGTTGGGCACGACTCTTTCTTCTTGCGTCTATCTACGCGCATGTATCGACGAAAGCATGCGCATGAGCCCGCCAGCAGGAAGTGCACTTTGGCGCGAAGTCGGCAAAGGTGGAGGGGTCTTTGATGAACAGCATGTCCCCGAGGGCTACGATGTGGGAACTGGTGTCTACGCGATCCATCACAATCCTGAGTACTACCCCGAGCCATTTAAATTTAGACCTGAGCGATGGATTCTTGCTGGAAGTGACCAAGGTGGTCTCGGAACTGCTACTCGCGAATCATTGACTGCCGTGCATAATGCCTACACTCCATTTTCCATCGGGCCTCGCAGTTGTATTGGTAAAGGTCTTGCGATAACTGAGTTAACCTTGGCCCTAGCCACTATTCTGTACAGATTCGATCTCAGTCTTGGTGGATCCAATGAGGAGATGCGAGTAGGAGAGGGCGCGCCGGGACTGGAGCCTGGTCGTCATCGAACAAATGAATACCAGCTCTACGACCACATAACTGCTTCCAAGGATGGACCAATGATTCGCTTCCGAAAACGGGATATGGCATGATGGTAGGATAGATCTATGCGATGTAATAAGAGAGGGAGACTTCGAGCTGCCATATTTGGTAGTGAACTCCAACATTGAGAAGCGGGACAATGTCATATTAGATGGCAAAAGGTTTCTAGATTACAAAATGCAGTTTATATGACTAAAGTCATGTCTACACCATCGAGCCTACCATAATCGCATTCATCATGCACTTCATAGTCAATTAGGCTCTAGAGCCCATCTCTCAGCAGCGGCAAAATCTATATTTCAGGTTAAACCTCGCAAATAAATCAAAAACTTCTGACATATTTGGGATCAATATACAATTCAGAACGTTGTTCTAATAATCCTTGGATAGCTATCATTACATCGGTGTGGCGGAGGTCCTGCGTAGTACCTACACAACCAGAATTATTTCAGTAGGCTGATTCCCGATCTACACAGGTAATGATGTATGGGACTGATAGCGTATCATAGATGGAAGTATCTAAAAAAAAAGACAAAGACACTTGCGCGGAACTTGTTATGGAATATTTCAACATGTTGTGGCAGGTAGTAGAATTTGAAAGTATCTGACTACTGGGGAACCTTTAACCCTCAGTTGACATGGCTTGAAATCAAAACAGTACACCTATATTCTTCGTACATGTCTTCCATTTACGCTTAATTTTCCGCGAGGCCGTTCTCGTGACCGTTTCCATAGGTGGGTAGTTCCGCAGTCTTATATTTGTTGTACACCACTTCAGGTGGCTGAAGGACTTCAACCCATTCTGGGAAATCAGAACTCTCCCCTCGCTGAATCTGTCTCAGATATGTAGAGAGCTTCTGGCACAGGGGGCCACTCTCAAACGTGAATTTGTCACCCGTAGAGCGGCGGGTGATTGAGCGGATTGGAACAAGGGCAGCTGCTGTTCCCGCAGCAATGACTTCTGTGAAATCGGCTAATTGATTGTAAAGGACCTGCATATATGTATATATGAGTATCGTATCGAAACAACTCTCCTATCTTAGAGGAACTTACCGGTCGCTTTTCCACAGTCCAGCCCCATGCCTTGGCAACAGCAACAGTGGAGTCGCTGGTCACACTTTCAATCGCATTTTTGCTATCTGGAACAACGAGTGTAGGAGAAACGGTATCATTGCCTGACTTGACTCCAATGAAGCTGGAAGTGGAGAACTCGTCAATCTCTGTCTGCGTCTTACTATCGAGGTGAAGTGTGAGCGGGAAACCCTCGGCCCTCGCTTTGTCAGTATATCGCATGACGGGCGCGTAATTACCGCCGACCTTTGCTGAGCCAGTGCCTCGTGGAGCAGCTCGATCAAACTCATCGATAATTAAGGCATCGGCTGCACCGCTACCGTGATAGGTAACAAAGGGCTGCACAAATACACAAAAAAGGTACTCCCGGGGCGGAGTTAACGCAAAGTGTCCTGCACTACCAAAAGCTAGCGGTCTGATGTATAGTGCTGCGTTGGTGGCATATGGAGGAACAAACTCAGCATTTTCGGCCACAGCGAGGCGAACGCTATCAAGAAAGAGCTCCTCGGGGATCGGAGGAATCGAAACATAGTAAGCGGAGTGGGCCATTCGTCTGGCATGTCGATCCGCTCTGAACAGCAAGATCTCTTCATCTCTGTTGCGACTCGCTTTTTCCCACAAAGAGTCAGCAGTGACTAGAGATGTGGAGACTCGGATTTCATACCTTTCAGTCCTTCATAGACCTGTTGTCCTAGTGTTTTAAAACCTCCTCAGCATTGTGATCACGCGCCAGACTTAAGGACTCACCATAATTCAAACCCGGTGCAAGACCATGTATACGAAGATAAGGATCGCGCACAAAAGTGGGTGCAAGCCATTTACCGGCCTCTGCATCATATCTACATTCGACGTGACCGTTGACTGCCACGGATAATTAGACAAGGAGCGTTAGCGAATAAATGAAGCTTACCAATATCGGTCACTGCAAGACCAAGTTTGGCCCAGTCTATCGAGGGATCTGTTAGCAGGAGGCAAATCTTCGAGAGAGACACGTACCTAGGTTTGCTGCAGGCGGTGCAAATGTCATTCTGAACGAGTTACAATTTTCTCTCACTTAAAATGTACCTAGAAAAAAGTCTTTGGGCCTCAAAGTTCAAGATAGGTCTTCAACTGAGCCAGAAAAATGTTCCTTCTAAGATGTGGTTGATAGCTATTTGCTTTCTGGTAGTAAATATTCGATTGTACCTTCTGTTTGGTTATCCTCTTTCTGGCCCCAGATTTGATCTTCTGTCATCCTCAAGTCTCCCACTTGTCGAGATTACATGTATGGTTTGAGTCACGATGGCGTTCGTCCACCGTGCTTTCGTCAACCAGGTTCAATACCACTAATGTCCAATGATATGTAACAAGATGACATCCTTGGATAATACGCGAGGCGAAACACGTTAGCGGCTCTGCTGTCACCGTATGGCAAAGTATGACGATGTTCAGGTCAGCGAATATAATTGAACCGAGAAACTAGCTGAACGTATGGATCGAAATAAGCAAAAGATAATAAAGTTAGGGGCCGATGCTTACGTTTGTTGGCAAATTATAATAGAGAAAGCGTCATTTGGCGGATGTGCAGGGAAAATCAGAGATATTTCCGTTGGCGACAGGAGCTAATTTCTCGGATCAATTGCAGTATGGAGCAAGGTGCGCAAAAATGGGAATCCCAGTTGAGCACCGGTATCCATATACCCTATTCAGTAATTTGGAAGCCACGTGTGGTACATGTTGCCTCGTATATGCAGTGTTTCTAGATGCTTACGCCAAGCCAGGGACCCAAATATTGCTTAAAGCTTGCTGATTAAACTACAACGCACTAATTCAGGATACAGAATACAGTACGAGCCAGCCCCATTTCTGACTCGGTGATGATTTGGATCCACAAGCTTGCCGTGAGTGAGATTTTTCAATGATGAGTCTACATTGTGACGCCATCACGACTATTTTCTCTATTTCCTTGGTGTATTATAGTGACAGCTCCGGTATTGCCCATTTTCGCTGTAAACACATGACAGAGCCCAAGCTTAAGCACGCCAAACTGACTCAGCTCGCCTTAGCTACGGAGCTTGGAAGTGGATCCATGCATATACGCGGAGTCTCAAGATTATCGTGGAACTCTAATCTTTCACCGGACTCAACCACCCGCAAGGTAAAAGGCCCCCAATAAATGACCAACATATTGTATGAGTATTGAGGATATGACACGTCTAAGCTTCCTGGGGAGACCGCAGCAGGATTTAGCCAGGTAGAAATCTCCACCCATTAGAGACGCCACAATAAGCTTCACCCTAAAGTGCAAGTCAGCAGGGATCCGCAATCTTGCCGGCCTACCCGTGTACTTTATCTCAGCCGCAACTTTAAAGAGACCGTATTGAGCTTCTCGGAGTTATTAGCTCCTAGCTGCATAAATGTTCCGAATTTAGCGTTCCAATGACTAATCGCGTCAGCATTTCGTAATACGTAAGTTACGAGATTATGGTGCAGTCCTTTCTACGTAGGATTCGGGCACTTTTACTATCATCATAGTCGTGCCATTTTATTTAAGGAATCCGAAACGTGTGATAACAAAAATTCGGTTTCGGACCCCAAATAGCATTTTAGACAGTTCCACTTATACGGAAGATAAATTGACTATCAATCTTGAAAGAGTTACGGTATCGTATGAAACTTACGGGTAATGAGCTCAGTACTGAAATATCTCCGTACATTGAAAGCATGATTGCAGATTCACGACTGTTTCGTCCAGTAAACTGTATAGACACTTGCTGTACGGTTGCATTCGAACAGATTGATCAGAGATGGTATCTAACTTTATCCAACTTCCTAGTTCTCACTCTATAGGAGTGCTTTATCCGATCTTTCGCCGTTCTGCTTGAACCAAATGCGTTGATGGCTTACAAGCGAGTCCTGGAGCGCTTTAGCTATCTTGACTGCATCTACCGCACCTGAAAGCTGCATGGGAAGCTGGGTATCGTCTAAGCAGGAAGCAACAAATTCGTTGACCTCGTCCACAAATGCCACTTCAAATCTCTCGTAGTAGTGTGCTGGTAATTCCCGACGCGCTCCGGAGGCATCAAAAATGCTGAGCAAGTTTCGTTGCGCATGGCCATTGACCACAAGCTTTCCTCTTGTTCCGATAATCTCAGTAGTGTCTTCCTGGCCAGCTGCCATCATGCGCGAACAATACAAGTAGGCAACGCGATCATCGTAGAACTCAATGATTCCTACTGCGTTATCGCAGTCATTGTACTCCCGTAGCTCTGGATGCAAACTGGTGATACCACTTGCTACCACAGACTTGACCTTGCTCTCCTGTCCGTAAAACCAGAGTATTAAATCGATGTCATGGACCGAACAGTCGCAGAAAATTCCACCTGAGGTAGCAGCAAAGGCCACGAAAGCCCCAGTCGGATCAATTTTGTCACACGTCTGGCTACGGATTACCGATGGCTTTCCGATCAGGCCAGCGGACATCTTTGTCCATGCATCACGATAAGATGCATCAAACCGCCGGGAGAAACCACACATGACCTTCAGTTCTGGCCTTTTATTTGCTGCATCGACTATTGATTGCGACTGTACATAATTAGCATCGTGCATCAGGGGCTCACTGGGATGGATACATACGATCTCAGCGCTGGTCGACAGAGGCTTTTCGCAGAGGACATGTTTTCCAGTATTTATGGCTTTGATTGCCTGTTCTGCATGGACTGTTGTCACTGTCGCAATTAAAACTGCCTCCAGTCCAGTATGCTGAAGCATAGAATCGTAATCATCGTAGATGGCGACTCCATAGGGCTCTAAGTTGGCCTTTGCCCATTCTCTCTCGTCAGCATCTGGTGTAAAAATGGCAACCAGATCAGCGCGAGGAGTGCGATGCAATAAGTTCATAGCATGGCGCTTTCCCATGCGCCCAGCTCCTGCACATCCGACCTTGAGTGTGGAAGGTGTCATATTGAGAGATGTTATTGTCTTGGTCAATGGAGCCTTGGGAGATGTTTAAGGTCAGGAACAGAATGCCTGGGACATGCTGTTTATATAGCCTTGGGAGATACGTTCAGCATGAGCCCTCTCGATATCAAAACATGCACTAACAAGACAAGGCCGTAGCTGCAAATTACTGGGTTTTTAGAAAGTGACGGAGATACTACCTAATAGCCTCGCGTATCTTCGCGTATTTCTGGTAGCAAGTACGTCTAAACAGACCCCACCTTCATAATATTTTGAACTAGTTACGGTATTCAAGCTATTCGCATTGTATATTCATATCACATTCGTGCATGTTAAATTTTAGTGCTGTATCGTATGTCCGACAACTTCGAATATAAATAGCAGTGAGAATATTCAATCAGATGGAGGTGGTAACGACTGTATCAAGTAAGGAGCAGAGTAACAGTAAAGATCAATCCAGAACGAGCGTGTCAAGAAATGAGAGAAAATTTAACGTGCGTCCACAGCTGAGTAGCCATGACGCCGATCAAGGTAGCCGCTGCTGCAATGCGACCTCTGACTCCGGTTCCAAGCCAATGACGAGGCGGAAGAAGTTGGTGAGAGCGGTGCGTTGTTTGCCGAGTGCGTTAACTACTGGGACCCCTGGAGGTGTCATAGGTGCCTTCAGCATGTAGCTCAGCAGGCTTAAGACGCTATGAAATCCTTGGTAGTCGGAAATCGAGGATGACGAGTCCGTCTCGCGCCAGGAAATACGAGTAAGAATTTCAGCCAGGATGACTAGATCCAAAATCAGGGGAGATGCAAGCAACGAATCCTCGCAAACATTAAACAGACTGATGGTCTGATGTCCTCCGAGGAAGATATCAGCGTAGTATTCGTCCAATGCCCGCTTGTTATCTCCGACTGCTGGGAGATATTTAATGACCACACAGTGATCTGGATGCTCGCCAGGTTTATACAGAACAGTGTTAGCTGCCACCATATCATCCACAACGTTTGATTTGGAAATCTCTTTGGAGCGGAATTGTGCTGGAGCGCTCAGGTTGTAGCCGTCATTGTTGCCAAGATGATTATAACTCGCAATGGACTTGACACGGATTCCAGCATTCACTAGGAACTCTACCAAAGCGGCCTTCATTTTTGTCTGGCCTGATTTGAAGTCGTCGCCTGCGATATACGCCTTGTGACGAGTTGCAAGATCAACCACACCAGGAACAAATGTATTTTGAGGGGAGCCATTGATGAAAGGTGCGTTTTCAAGAATGCTCGCAACTGCGAAGATCGTAGATGGCGCGATTTCAGAATGCCCGTCCGAAATGGACTGTAGAATCTCGTCGGCGGTCTCATTGACCCCTGAAATAATATCCGCATATCTTTCCGTATTTGCCGTCCACAAAACAAGCACAGTATCCAGGTTGTGTGAAGATTTGAAGTCCCTGATATCTTGACGAATCTTGTCAAGATGAGTGCGGGAAGCCTTGCTGCCCTCCAGAATATTGTCGGCTCGTGCTCCTTGATTTGCAGCAATGAAATCAGGATAGTAGATACTAGGGAGCGGCTTAATGGCAGATAGCTCCTTGCGAATCTGATTCTTCAAGCCTGGCTCAAGAACCGCCGCGCGGTCAGCAGCATCTCCCAAGTTCATGGAACTGATATCCCATCCTCCGACAACAAGATCGTTGGGGTGCACCATGGGAAGGATATCATGAAAAGGGATGTTGACATCTTCACCGGTCTTGGGATCCACACCGAGCTTAATTGTTGATCCCATCACGATAGATCCGTAGTAGTTGGCCGATTGTTCGCCCTCGCGCGTTTGCCAAGTGAGACCAAGGCGATTAGCAATAATACCTGCAGTCACTGTAGTACCATTGTTGCCGCCAAGACCGACAAGCATGACCCCGACGCGAGGGACCTTACGATTGATCTTGAATTCGTACTTCTTCTCGTAAGGAGTTGCAATAACGCTTCCAGACTCATCTTTGGTAGCCTCTGTACCACGATAGACAGCTTGGGTACGGATGAATTCATTCGTGTACTCCACGTTGGCTGAATTAACTTTGACAATAGGGTTTCCAGGGCTTGAATAACGCGAGGTTGCGTTATCCGCAGAATTAATAGAGGGAGACATCGTAGTTTCAAGTCCTTTTCAATGTTCCCGACTAGGCTTTAGTCCCAAAGTCCCTCCGAAGCGTGAAGAGCTTTGGAATGGGTTATGAACCCTGTAGAACCATATCAGCATATCAAATCAAGCAAGGAAATCATGACAAAAAAATACATACGAGTTCAATAGATTTGAAAACGTTTTGACGGAATAACAGCAAGGACTCTCGTTGAGATCCTTGAATATTCTGGGTATTGATAGAGACTGATAGTTGAGGGACGTTTCAGAATCTCATTGATGCTATTTCTTGTCCTCCATGTTTCTATTTATATTGGACATTAGATATGCTCAGAAAGCCATATCCAGTAGTACCGTGACCGGAACTGCTATGTGGACCTGCACGTATTGCCGAAGCTCAGAGACTTCTTTACTGTTCCTGAGTTCTTGAACCCGAATAAGGCGGCGCTAATGATGCAGCAAATTGTTGGCATAGTGGTTGCTCTAACGTCGCGTAAAAAAAATATAATTTACGAGATAAACTCATCTGAGATAGCTTGAGACGGCTCCACAAATTTGAAATGATTCAGGTAAACGTTGCAATCGTAATAAATCATAAGAAAATCGTAATTTATAGTATTGGTATCATAACAGTACGATACATTGGCGTTTGATACATGGTAATAACGTTCGGCCCCACCCGTATTAATAGATTACAAAAGCTTGTGCTAAACCAAGGTTATAGAACGCCTCAATATAGACGCGATGCTAGTTTAGATTAACATGATCATGATCAAGCTCAATCTAGAACAAGTACTGGACCAATAATATTGGATAACTTCTTATAGCTAATCATTACATTCAATCTAGCTCAATAACTGGAATACCCGTCGCTTCACCTCCCCCCACCCTATTCGGACTGAAGCGACGGGTAATTGAGAACTTCGTATACATGAACATAAGTATGTTATCTTACATTGGGTCCATAATCAAAAAGCAAATACTGGTATATGTAGATGATATGAAGTCAACTCGAATTTTGGACCACATCCACTGTGATGATTATACGCAGTTACCAATAACATAATTTTCAATCAATAGCGCAATATTTTTTGGATCCGACCTAATTCCGCCCGCAGTCTTCTTGAAGTCGAGTATGATAAGGATTACAGGCAAAATCTTACACTAAGGAGCGAAATAGCCACAAAACAGTTCTTCGATAGACCAAGAAGAAATTGTTGTATAGCAATCTTTGCTCTGCGCATCATGATTCCCGCGATGTTACTCAGCGAACTGACTTGGCAAAGCATTGCTCTGGCCATTGGAGTAATCTTCTTGGTAACAAATTTGAAGGGTATTCCAGGATTTTGGCATGTTCGTACTACCCTTCCATCCTGATGTGAATGCGTACTGACTCCAACCTCCCAGTTACGACTAATTTATTGTCTACAACAACATATTATCTTCAATCGAAATCGACGGGTGGATATTGTCACCCATGGCGCCCAAAGCCTTTTCTATCCTGTCGTAACGACCTCGCGGAATTGGTTGATTGAGTGCGATTATAACATGCACAAGTCAAATGCTACCTATTTCACGGATCTTGATATCAACCGCGTACATCTGATTGCCTCGCTGTTCAAAGATCAGATGGCTTTGGGATTTTCCGGAGGTGACTTGAATATCGCGCTGGGTTCGACTGCTTGCGTCTTCCGCCGAGAGATCAAGCCATATGAAGCCTATGAAATACATACTCGAGTACTATGCTGGGATGAAAAGTGGCTGTATCTTGTCAGCCACTTCTTGAAGACAAAGAAAGGATCACCGATTGCTAAGGGGTATCTCTTCTCCAAGCCATATGCGAGCACTTCCAAGCAAAATATTACTAGCGTCGCTAGCTCGGCATCATCAGAGGCTATCAATAAATCTATTGCTGCTTCTGCAATTACAAGATATGTTTTTAAACGTGGAAGAGTCACAGTCTCACCGGAGACAGTACTCTCCGCCGCAAAACTTCTTCCTCCTCGTGAGACGCCGACAGAGAGTATTGAAGGCTCGCCCACATCAACGTGGACTTGGGACCTCATTGAGGCAGAGCGACAGCGTGGACTCCAAATTGCAAAGTCCTTTCTTGCATTAGATGCTCTCCACGGGACACTTAACAGTAACGATGGGTTTGGATTGGGTTTGTTTTAGATGATTCCTTCACACAGAATTTGTATGCAAAGTACTTAAGATAGAAATAGATCGGAACCGTTATGGACAACCTATTAGGACGACATTACACGGTAAAGCCTGAATGATATGTTTTGGATTTACCTAGTTGGATCAAATGTGATCCTTCTTCAACATGAAGAGTACTCGTCTTATTTTATTATTCAACCATTGTACCGCACTGGATCAGAATTAAAAGAATTGCATCGAGTAGTGTCTCCAGACAAGAAGTATGGATACCATGAAATATGTGATTATTATAATAGGAAGCTAAGCATCGCGGCAACACCTGCCAAACAAAACACCGATGAGATATCATCATAAAAAATGGCAACTTTCAATGTACAACATCCATATTGGCATAGTCATTCCACTGCAGTTTCCACATGGTTAATACTCGATCGTTGAAAGTGAATGGATAGACACTTACCTTAGCGAGGATGTTTCCTATGACCGGGGATTTGGTGCGGCGGTAGACCTCATGGAAATACTCTTCACTGACCTCGAAAGGGATAGCAGTCAGGTTAGGTATGTATTTTCCTACCAGCCTGTCAATGTCCAGGCTGTACTTGTCGATGTGGCGATGCAGACAATCGCGGAATGTAGAGATTCCAGGTGCCAGAAAGGACGAATGAAAGGGCACATCAATTCCTCGAAGAGGGACAGTAGCCACCCCTCGCTGAAGCAAAATTGGCTGTGGTTTACCTTTCACTTCATTCGCGCACTTTCGAATAGTTCTCAACATGCAAGCTCGAATTTCATCAAGAGGTGATCTTCCTGAGAGTATATCCTGGAAAGCTTCATCTTGCGCCTTAAAGACTCCTATTACTTCTGACAGACAGTCCAGAGCACGGAGCTGGAGGTGTTTTGTCTTAGTTGCATTCCTGACGAAATATTTGTCCAAATAAGAGGGTACTTACATCACCAGCACATACGTATTGTGAATTTGAAACATTATAGTTCACGATTTCAAGCAGCCATCCTGTCTCGCTCGAAATGAGTGAAACTAAATATCCCAGTCGCTCCTCATCGAAAGCTAATTGACTTGTGATTAGCGGACCTGTTAAGTCGATAAGGTGCGAGCTCGACTTACTCTTCGACAATCGACTCGGATCTACAGCGCACATTGAGAAGTTTGACCGGCCCAACGCGTCTCGCTCTACCGCCATCTGCATGGTAAGACCACGGTGAAAAACAACTGAGATTAGACTTTCGACTGGCATGATTTCAGCAATTGCAGCGAGTGCGGAATACTCTCCCAATGAGTGGCCGGCGAAACTGCAGTTATCAGCGACCAACCCTTTCTCTTTCATGTCGTCAATGATTGCTTTTTCCATGAGCGTCAGTGCTGGCTGCGTGAATTGGGTCGAGGATAGTAGACCAAGAGCTGATCGAAAAGTATAAGACCTGGACGCCGCGTTGATATCCTTGAACATTTTTTCCGACGTCACACGCCCGTCCGGATGAATCATCTCACACTCGAGCGCTATATAATTATCACGAATCGCTCTCCCTCTCACCCCTCCAAAATGGATTGTAAGCTCTTTTGGGTCATCGCGTACTATATCCGTAATACGAAAGCCTGGGAGGCAGGGTTAGTACTGACGTTTGCTTACTCTGGGCTAAAAATGAGTAATTACCAAAATTGTCGAAAAAATGCTTATCCGCGCGATCCCAAACTCGACGTGCTGCTGGGCTGCTTGTATACAAGTCCATACCCATTCCTTTCTCTTGACTACCCTGGCCAGTAAAAAGGAATGACGTATTGGGCTGTTCAACTTCAGCTTCAGCGATAATTAGCCTCTCTGACGTTCCTACACGACTTGCTTCAGCTCGTATCAGCATTCGACCGCGAATCATGCCGACATGCTGGTATACGACTTCAACGTTATCATCAGGCAGCACCATTCCCACAAATGAGCACTTGTAGGTTCTGACTCGTTTGGGAGATCCAGCGGCCGTGAGCGTTTCTAGTATATTGCGAACCCTAGCACTCATGTGCATGCCATGTGTTATGGTCCCAGGTAAATTGGCGTATTCAGCAAATGTCGTGGACACATGGATCGGGTTGAAGTCACCAGAGACCCTGGCATACTCCTCATTGGATGGGGGTAACTTGAACCGAATTTCCCCGTTACCCAAGATGATAGGCTTCTCGAAAATGACAGGTTGATCAATGGTCGTGCCGTGGCGGTTCAAGTAGTCAATGACAGGATTAGAGAAAGATGATCCAGCCCTGTAATCCACATGACCTATATTGAGAATCCTTCCCGCCGTTGTGCGTCCGTACACAGGGCCTGAACAGCGCAAGGACTTAAAGACGTGTTTATCATGATACTCAGCATGGGTTTCCAGATCAAACGTCAGCGTGAGTCCTTGGAGATCCAACTCCGGATTGTTAGAAATAAACCATTTCTTAGACCGCAGTATCGCGATTCCGGCAGCACTGGTAAGCGATACCTGAAATTTCGGTTCTTTTGAACGTTGGAAAGTATTTTCGTAGTCATGATAGGATCCCCGGTACATGAAACGACTCACAACCTCCATGATATCATTGGAATCTCCATCTCGGCGGATTCTCGAAACCACCTCTACTACCTTTCCCGAGTCCTCGTTGAGAACGCTTCGGACGTGCGCGCTTGAAGACAAGACGTCTCCCTCATGGATAGGGTCCGAGTCTTCGAGCAGACGAAATTGGTTGGATAGATGGACAAGTTTCAGGAGATCTCCATTGATGCCCTTTGTAAGTAACGGCTTCATGACGGATTTCCATGACACTACGATTGCGTAGTCCATGGGAGCATATAGCTTCTGTTGTGATTTTGAAACGTGATAAGGATCGTCAGAACGTAATTGATACAATGGCTAAACTCCTTGATGTTATATCGTCTGATAACCATAATCCCACCCTGGAACTCATCGTCTCTCCTTAAGTTGTCAAAGGAGCCTGAAGGTTGACCAAACCAAAGCTGGCAGTAAAACCCTTTGATACGATCGATCTTTCCAGGAAGAATCTCAGGGATTGGTGCAAAAGTTATTTCGGGGTGATAACTAAAGAGGAGCTCTAGTCTTGCAGGTATAGCATTAACTGTACGATTTTCGAAAAGTGTCACCGTAATCAAGCCTTGATCAACAGCTCGAACCTCTGCAGTTAGCGCTTGGCTCATCCCATCGGCGGTTGTCTCTAACAGTCGGACAACACACTGGCCTCTGCAAGTATAGCTGTGGGCCTCAACTTGCATTCCAGTGCGAGGAGCGAAAATCCGGCGGAGGGGGTTTTCGCAAATGTTATGATCTTGGACTATGGTCTTTTGCGTAAAGATAGCATGCCTCCAGCTACCTTTCGCCCCGCCCAGCGCATTCATCCAATCATCGAGACACTCGGGTTTTTCTATGTACATTGCCGGGTCATATGTTTCGTTAGACGAGATTCCAGTGGCGGCTAATTGTGCAACATTCTCGGTGCCTGGTAATGGTATCTGCGTCGAAGTAATATCATGACCCTTATTTACTAATGCGCTCACCCATTGGTGATAGATATTGTCCAAAATATGCTTCACGGGCTCATTCGGAATCGTCGAATGCTTGGCTGCCACAGGACCATGCAAAATACATATCCTCCCAACATCTTGGCCCGGTACCGCTTGAACATCCTCAGATTGCCAGAGCGAGTCTTTTTTGAACCAGAATTCGAAATCTTCATCCAGAATGGGGATGAATGGTACTGGCTTCTGCCCCGGTCTCCTGCAGAGGTGGAGGAATGTCTGTATACAAGGAGTGTCCATCAAGTATGAACTAACCTTCGGGTTGCGTGCAAGGAATTGTTCAATTGCCAAAGTTGGCTTCTCAATCTGGGCCATGGACCGCCAAAATCGCATGTTCAAGGCATCCTCCGGTGTGCTTAGGATATCTTCGATCCACTGAAGGAGATCAAGAGTAAGCTTTTGGTAACTGGGATGTATCCATCTGGACTCATGGCGAACAAAAGTGAGTTCCACTATGCGTAGAATGACTTGAGAAAGAGTCATTTCGTTAAGATCGCAAGCTTTCCCGAGGTGGTTTTTACCAAACCAAACCTTTTGAAAGTGATTATTGAGGCTATCAATAATTTGGTTCTTGTTCTCTTTCAAATAAGCCACCCTTAAGGCCTTGTCGGATATGCTGAAGACAGTACGATCCATTGTAGCCCACAACTGGACTCCCCGTGTGGCAATCTTGTGTATCGGTTCACCCATTTCGGAGCGTACGGTCAAAACACCTCCGGTAGGTCGCTGGTATGTTTGTTCCCAATCGCTGTCCTCCACACCGGGAGTGTCAGCAATCAGCATTTTAGCTTCAATGCTGGTGTGGGCTTCCTTGGCTATCATGACCCTACTGCCCATGAGAATACCGTCAAATGGCATTGGCGAGCTGGCATTGAATAGTTGTGCCCATTCACCAGTCAAATAGGGCAATGTGTCCTCCGCACCTCCGAATCCGCTTCCTGCCACAAGAATAATATTCTTACATGCTCTGATCCTACCATACATTTGCAAAATTGGATCATGGAAGTCCTCGTAGGAGTGGTGACCACCTCCTCTACCACCAGTCCACTGCAAGACAATGGGAAAAGTCTTGTTTTCACGGGCTATGTCGATAACCTGCTGGATGGACTCAACTGACCCGGGCTTGAAAGAGATGTGCTTGATACCTAAGGTTCGAATATACTCATTTGCCACATCAATAGACGGGATCCCAGCACCAATAGAAATTCCATCGACTGGTAGGCCTTTGGAACGCAGGTCTTTCAGCAAAGGAATCTGCCATCGTACGGAATTTGGATTCGCGTATATTATATTGCAGGTAATACCTCTACCTGGTATTACACTCTGGGCGACGTTTGTAATTGCATTCTCAAGATCATTGGCGTTGTAATAACCTCCACCCGCCAGCTCGATATGATATCCTGCGTTCATCACGGAAGAGACGAAATCTGGCGCCACGGTGGTCGGCGTCATTCCTGCGACCATTACTGGCGGCAAGCCAAAAATTTCAGTAAACTTGGTTCTGATTTGGACTTTATTGGTGGGGTCTGTGATCAAACGTGGTTTATACTCCTCCGCCCAGCTAGTTGCGTACTGTACGGGACATCCAGGGTCTCGGTTGAAGAATTCAGCTTTGTTACCATACTCCTCACTATCTTTCATGGAAGTACCAAGCACAAGTCTGACACCAAGACCACCTTTGTTATGGACAGTAACAGTACCCAGCCCAGCACTGCCGCCTGGTCCAAAATCAATCAGATGGGTGGCACCGGGAAACGTTGTAGCCTTCTCCCAATGGACCGGCTCTTCAACCACCATTCGCACAATGTCTGGTATAATATTTTTCTCTTGAAATTTTCGCATGTCCTGCCCATCAGTCGTGCCGAATATAGGAATGTGGAGCTGACTCGCTGATATTTTGAGACCCTTTAGGTCCTGGAGAACTAAGGCAGATACATCCTTCAGGCATGAACCATGAAATGGTGCTGTGACAAACAAGAAGCGACTTTCGAGATTAGGCTTTCGCTGACTAGCGGGAATTCGGGCAGCTGAGTTTGATTTCGTGGCTTTCATAGTCCTCAAGTGTAGATTGAGACCATGTAAACTAAGCGGCGGGCCAGTGACGACCATATTCATCGGAGAGTTGATGAGTGAGATTGATATTTGAGCACTTTCGGGCAAGTGTTTGTTTACTTGATCAATGCTCTTTTGTAAGGTTTCTCGTCGAAGATTGCGCACTCTCAGCATTGGGCTTGGGGTCCCTTCACCATTATCTTGCGCATCTTGTCGCACGGCTTCGGGCAGAAATTGAGGAGGATACCATTCGTGACATCGACATGCAATATAAAATAAGATTCGGAGCGCATCCTGCGAGTGTCGATAGAAGTCCTCCCACGTATCAGAAACGGCGAATATCAATGCAACGACAATCCCTTGCGAATGACCAGTCACTCCGGACAAGTGGCTGCACAGCTCACGAGGTTTAAGGCCCATTGCTCGACAAGCTACCACAACATGACATATTTGTAAAAGTCCAATAAGCGGCATACTGATGGGTGCGGATAGAAGGTATTCAGCATCTGGCTCTGAATCGGAATTTTGAAGCCATTGGAGCAATTTGAAATCCTTAGGGAAGTGAATCTTAAATTCAGGTTCCGCAGAAAGGCATTCCAGCAGACGGGCCGCGGAATCAATAAATATCTTGAGGAAGGCCGGATAGGTGGAATGCATTTCCCTCAAATCATCAAAATACTTCTCGTCGTTGCCTTGTCCTCCGAATAAAGCGTAAATCCGCGCACTACCCTTGCTAGCCGCTTGAAGAAGGTTTGATGGGAGACTTTCCGGCGATCGATCTAACATCCTTTGAGCATTAAAGTAAGTTCGTACGATTGAGAGCTTTCGTTTCAAGGGGATATCAATGCTCTGTAAGGCGGCATGGATCTCGTTCCCATCGAGGTAGTCTTGTTCAAGAGAGTCCAAAAGGGATTCAACTATCAACAATGCGTCTCGAGAATCATCTCCATACCCATGTTCCAGAGCTCTCATCATACAGAAGTCGAGAAACTCAGTAACTATTTCTTCATTTGTAGAAATATCACTTTGAGATCCAAGCGACCGTAGAGAAGTGGCACAGTCCTCCCAAAGTCTATTAGCGAAAGAGAGTGTTGATGCTGGAAGCTCTATATGAGTCTCCAAATTATCCCATCTCGCTACCAGCGTTGCTTTGTCGCTGCTGACGGGAAGTGATGCGGCGATATCAGGTGTAAGAACAGCGAATTCGGAGCTAGCACTCGATGCAGGAGTATTCTTGGTGATCATCTCGAATAATCGCCCTCGCAATCGAGGTTAGGATGCACCTGGACCGGGCACTTGTAGAGCAATTTTGATGAAAAAACTTGGAAAATTCGAAGAGATAGAAGATATGTTGAAGTGAATTCGGGTGATGGGTATCTCGACTGTAGAGTTCTTTTGCAGATAGGATATTCCGGACACGCTACCATGCATGAATATCGGCGAGATTAAAATATCACTTTTATGAGTGCTAAACCTGCCCTTGCATAGTTCATCAGAACCAGGTTTAACTCACTGTTGAATTTGGATACATGATGCCCTATTTCGGTAGGTCATGGATACCATGGTACCGTATTCAGATGAGTATCGTATCTTGTAACAGTACCATACCAGGATACAGATGAGTTGCAGGTGGGGCAAAGTTACGGCCAGGTAGCTGGTTTCGTTACAGACCCACTTTTGAAAATAGACTATCGTATTGCCTAGTACTAATACTGGTACATACTAGTACATGCTGAAAGCACGTGGCGTCAAGGTTTACGCCGTGCCGGCCCGGCCCCCACTGTGCCGACCGAAAGGGGCGGATGACTGCAGCGACGTACAATCCTGCAGCTGAGATCGCAATGCGATCGCCACAATGCCATGTGGGTTTAGATAAGTTTATTTTTGAGATGAGTGGAGCTTGCATGGTTTTACGCGCGAACCAATGGACTTCGAGGAAACCTATGTGGTTCAAAATTGACATCCTTCTCCTGTCACTCTTTTCCATTGGTCCCAAAGCCCAAGTTCGCAAACCCCAATACCTCCGAAAGAGTCCCAAGCTTATTTGGAGTCCCCAGAATGTTCCCAATGACTAGAAGCTGTTAGTTTTTTATTCAATACTGACTTTGACAGAGCCAGCGATTATGTCGAGCTCCAGAAACACTCGACGAGGATACATCACCAGTGACTCTTCTCCCAAGAGCCTGGTCAGTCGCCATGATGCTTGCGAAAAATTGCTCTGTCGCTGTAGAAGACCATTTTGGTCCTCGAGCCACTCTATGTTATGATGGTTATGATTTTACCTTGATGTTCGAAGACTTAATTCTGACAGTTATTCCTATTGGACTACTTTTCCTTTGCCTGCCACTAAGACTTGTGCAACTATTTCGAAAAAGACAACATACAATAAGTCATGACCTTAGGTCCTCAATCAAACTCGTATGTCCTCAGATCTTCTTTGTGGGTTTGACGATGTTGAATGTTGACAATATTAATCGCCAGGTCAGTTATGTCGTTTTGGCATCAATTCAAACTACACTTGTGGTCTTGTGGTCTCTTCCGGGAAGAGAAAAAGCACGTTCAACCTTGCCAGCTGCCATTTTGGGTGTGGCTGCAGCACTTGCACTGGGCGTTCTATCAAACCTGGAGCATGCCCGATCAATAAAACCCCCAGCACTGATAGAAATCTACCTTTTTTTTACAATTCTTCTCGATGCAGTTCGCGCGAGAACGATATGGAAACTGAGCTCTGACAAGACCGTATTTATCGTGTTTATCATATCCATGTTCGTGAAATTCGCACTTTTCGTTCAAGAATCTTGGCCTCGTCAAAGTTACCCGTCATCAGATTCCTACACTCCCGAAGAAAAGGCCGGATGGCTTAATAGACGGCTATTCTGGTGGATTAACCCCTTGCTACTACTTGGAACTCGCAAATCACTCGAAATGAAAGACCTTCCCGAATTGAGCCATGACCTCCGGTCTCAGGAATGCTGGAAAAGCTTTTCTGAAAGCTGGAAAGAAGGTACGCATGATTATTCCGCCCTTCGAACTTTCATTGATCTTTATCAGCAAGTCCCATTTTCAAAACGAAATGCAATGGGCTTTTACTTTTCAGCTGCTGGGCGTTTAAAAGCATGCTCCTAAAAGCGGTAGTTCCTCGCCTGTGCTTTACAGGATTTACCTTCGCCCAGCCATTTCTGATTGACGCGGTAACCAAGTACCTGCAAAATTCCGCCTCAGAGGCCAATCTAAGTCAGGGACATCTCCTCATTCTTGCTTACATTATTGTTTATATTGGAATTGCAGTAAGTTAGGCCATGCTAACCATACTCTTAATTTCTGACACTAAGAACTGGCCTGGCGAAGATATCCGAGGCTTGTTATCAGTATATGACTTATCGCACAATCATCCTAATGCGCGGATGCTTGGTGCCACTGATCTACGAGAAGACACTTTCGATAAAAATGAAAGCCGGTCAGGAGTCTGCCCCATTGACTTTAATGAGCGCCGACATTGAGAAGATTGCGTTTGGAATGCGCTACATGCATGAAGCTTGGGGAAATGTCATTGAGATTGCTTTAGCGCTTTGGCTTTTATATGATCAACTCAAATATGGAGGTCTCAGCCCTATTTTGATCGCAACATGTAAGCTTTTATCCTCTAATATGACGAGCTTACTGACATGTATTTGTATAGTATGCGGAATCGTGGCAGCGACGATGGCACCTGCGATAGGTCATCGGCAAGCGAAATGGGTAAACTCGATTCAGAAAAGACTGGGTGTAACCTCTTATATGATCAATTCGATGAAGAGCTTAAAGTTGGAAGGCCTCACCTCGTGGTTTATGAATAGCATCCAAAACCTTCGAATTGACGAAATAAAATACGGAAACCAATTCAGATCTTTTCTTATCTATGCTGTCAGTCTCTGTGAGTTTGACGCATCCTTCTGTCTCTTTTGGGGCGTTGCTAACGAGTGGAAGCATTCGGTACTACCGTCATATCGCCAGTTGTAGGATTTGGGATATTTGTCGCAACGTCAAATGGCCCTCTCACTACCCACAAAGCTTTTACTACGCTTGCTTTGTTCTCGGTTCTCCAGACACCAATGTCAATGCTCTTGCAAGCTGTTCCAAATCTGATATCAGCCCTGGGATCACTCGAGCGTATTCGACTCTTTCTTCTGACCGAGGATCCACCACAGGAGATCACGTATAAAACATTACATAAATCCGACCAAACGCTAGACACTTTAATTGAGCTCAAATTCACGCAAGCTGAACATCCCAACACCATTGTCGCTGAAAACTGGAGTACCGGTTGGGACCATGACGTTCCAATTATCAAGAATATAACATTCAGAATCGATTCCTCCTCACTGGCAGTAATTTGCGGGCCAACTGGGTGCGGCAAATCCACTTTTTTGGCGGGGCTTCAGCGTGAAACTCCATACGAGAATGGTCATTTGAGATGTCAGACTCTGGGAGCCGCATACTGTGCTCAAGAACCCTGGTTGCAGAACGGTACCATTACGGATAATGTTATTGGACCGTCAGCCTACGAAGCAAGGTGGTATCGCGAAGTTGTTGAGGCCTCAGGTCTAAGCAAGGATATTAATCTACTCCCTTTGGGATCCCACACCATGGTTGGAAGCAAAGGTTTATCGCTCAGCGGTGGGCAGAAACACAGAGTGGTAAGAAGTTGTCCTCGGGTGAAAGGGAGTTGATCGCACTTATTGACATTGAGCAGGCATTGGCTAGGGCGCTGTACTCAAGAAAAGCGCTACTCCTCCTTGATGACATTTTTAGTGGCTTTGACACTGGCACTGAACGGCTAGTTATGACAAATTTGTTCGCTGAAGATGGCTTTTGTAAGAAGCATAAAGTTACAGTGATTCTCGTAACACATTCAGGTATGTGCTATTGAGTTTGTTACCAATAATCAAATTTTCAGGACTAATCTCTTCGTAGCGAATGCCATTTCATTCGCCGACCAAGTTATTTCCTTGGACAAAAAGGGCCATCTGATTGAAAACGACGGTTCCTTATTATCAGTCTCAATGAAGATGAGTACAACTGATCTCCATGAAGATGCAGTAGACAAGGGTAACATGAGACATGGCATTGCTCGGAATTCCAATCTTCAAGTCGAACTGGCAGCGCAGGTTGAGACTGCAGAAGCTAGTCAAAAAATAGGCGATTACGAGATTTACCAATATTATCTTGGAATAGTCGGATGGTTAAACACAATCGTGTTCTTCGTCGCGGTTGCAGTATTTACATTTGGTCTAACATTTCCAAGTACGCATACTTTCCCTTTTCCGCACGAAGGACGCGACAGCTTACTGATGTCAGGTGTATGGGTCCAGTGGTGGGCAGCTGCTGATGAAAAGGATCCAAACCATCACCTTGCTTTATATTTGGGGGTTTATTCATTCCTAGCAGTTTTGGCGGAGGTGGCGTTATTCTTGGGTTGCTGATAAGTATTCCTAATCCTATTATTAACAGGTTTACTGACGCAATGCACGCATCTCATGTCCAATATGATTCCTAGGGCATCCCAAAAGTTACATTTTATTCTACTTGAAACTGTTTTGCGGTATGTTCTTTTGTTTTATTGAGAATTATACAGTTGCTGATTCGTGGTAGAGCGCCGATGTCCTTTTTTAATTCTACCGACTCCGGAGTGACTATCAATAGGTAATGGATCACCTGGAAAAGAGACCTAAAAATCTTCTAGCTAACAGCGCATAGATTCAGTCAGGACTTACAATTAGTCGACATGGAACTCCCACTTGCTATTGTTGAGACGACTGCTGGTAATTCCCAACAATCCACGTGCTCATGCCTGCTCCATACTAACTAACATGAACTAGCTTTTGCACTTTGCATAGCACAGCTGATTATTATTTTCGTGACGGGAAAATACATTGCGGCTATTATTCCACTTTGCCTGGCAGTTTTCTATTTACTTCAAAAATTCTACCTCAAGACCTCTAAGCAACTCCGATTCATGGAACTGGAAGCCAAATCGCCACTGTACTCAAAATTCATGGAGACAGTAAGCGGACTCACTACTATACGTGCTTTCGGATGGCAAAAACACTTCCTTGAACAGAACTGCAGTTTAACAGATGCTTCACAGAATCCCTATTACCTTCTGTTTGTCATTCAACGCTGGTTAACCCTTGTATTGGACTTTACTGTAGGTGGAATAGCCGTCCTGATTGTCGGTGTTGCTGTGGGCGCTCACGGATCCATTGGGGCCGGCTCCGCTGCGCTTGGTCTTCTCAACATTATCAACCTGAGCGAGAGCTTTAAGCAACTGATATCGAATTGGACAGTTTTAGAGACGTCGATTGGTGCTGTCTCGCGTGTTAAGCAATTTAAGGTAGATGTCCAACCAGAGCAAGAATTGGAGGATCCATTGATAGTTTCAGAAAGCTGGCCCGAAAATGGGCATATCGAATTTCACAATGTCTCCGCCTCTTACAGGTAGGTGGTTCCTTCAACTTCCATTCAATCAGGGGAAGTGGGATGTACTAACATCGCCAACACAGCCAAGATGGCAAACCAGTTTTATCTAACATGAACTTATCAATATCGGCTGGCGAAAAGGTTGCCATCTGCGGACCTAGTGGAAGGTGATTTGACTCTCAGGCCAGTTATAATTCTATTTCTTTCAGGCTGACGTATTCTTCACAAAGTGGAAAGAGTTCGCTGGTCCAACTACTTTTTAGATCACTGGAAGCTAGTGAAGGAACCGTTGCCATCGATGGGTTGGATATTAGTACAGTCTCTCACGATCAAATCCGTTCATCCATTTGCTGCATACCTCAAGAAGTCACTATTCTTCCCGGGACGATCCGTCAGAATATTGATCCACGCGGGATTTCGCATGACAATGATATTGTGGAAGTATTAAAAGAAGTCAGGCTTTGGGATAGAATATCAACAGGTCTCGGTGGCTTGGATGGGTATATCCATGGAGATACCTTCTCTCAGGGGCAGAGGCAGCTATTGCGGCTGGCTTCAGCCGTACTGAGAATACGTAAAGTGGTTGTGCTTGATGAGGCTACAAGCAGGTAAAGTCCCATCTTCCTTTATAAATTCATCTTGCGGCCTAATGCTTTCGGTACTAAAACCATGCAGCGTGGATCATGATACGGATACCCTCATGCAGAATATGATCCGCAACGCCTTCGCTTCGTGCACTGTCATAGCAGTAGTGCACCGTCTCCACACCATTCTCGACTTCGACAAAGTATTTGTTCTGAAAGAAGGACGTATTGTTGAGTCTGGCGGTCCGAAGGACTTATTGAATCGGGAAGATAGCTTATTTCGACAGCTTTATAGAAGAAGCAATACTTCAGTCGCTACTGATGTAACGGAATTTTGCACTTGATTATGAGCCTGCCAATGACGGAGCATGGTATGAAAATATACTATCAATCATTCTGTGCAAATATTATAGCTAAGTACTTCACATTAGGTATCTGCAAGATTGAATGTAGCAAATCAGAAGATCGGAAGATGAATACAGATTTTCTGAGACGTTGGCCCCGAAAGTTGGCATTGTGAACCCAACACATGCATCACCTTGGCCTTTTAATCATGTCAAATCTTCAGATTAATTGAGATAGAGGCTACTGTGGATTTGATAAGGGTCTTACACTTGGAAAGAAGAATACGCAAGTCACTAGCAATAATTAGACAAGATGCAACACAACGCAGTTCGTATACTTAGGACAGACAATTATTACACGCCAACTGAAAGGGTGAGAGACCTGGTTAGCACCTGGATATCTATGGGCTTTGTGATACATCACATTAATTAGATATTGCATGGAGATTGAGATGACGATTTCGTGTACCTAAACGTCTGATGACTTAACATAGATTTCTAATTGAAGAATAGACCCCACTGTTGTCAGTCAATGAGAAGCGCCATTCCATTGGTTAGGGCGTAAAACAAGGCAAAACAAACTTGCCTAATCCCACATGGCATTCCGATCTCGGCTACAGGATGGGTGGCTGGTACCGGCTGCATGAAGCTTGCTTTAGTATCAATACAGGCTGTAGAATACATTTATTACCATACGGCTTGTAATATACAGATACCATTACATCAATCGTGATTACATACATCGTATTGTAATGATACTATTTTAATCTTGCAAGTGACTGAACTATAACTAGTGCCTTTTTACCATCGTTGTCATATCTCGTACACGCATTTGGCCCCATCAGCAGCTCAAGAAAACCTCATGGGCATGTTATGTGTGGAATACGGCTGAGATTGAACGACAAAGTGATCCATATGTCAATCCTGCCTGCCCAGCATCGGCACTCTTATTGGGCGGCATTTGAACCATGCAGAGATTCATTGGCGTGCGCGTAAAATGAATTCGACATAATCAACGCAAAATTGGTCGGCCACAATACCAATTATGGTAAATGGTCATACAGCGTTGTTCCATTGACCTTCCAGAACAAACGGTGTAACTCTAAAAGGTGTTCCTGCATTGTAAAACAGGGATAAGACTGCAATAGCAACAATTAGCATGACCAGGAGACTTGGTTCAGTTCGAATAAGCTTACACGTAGCTGAAACTGGTAATTTTAGTATGAGATGGTTTCTAGTGGGTTTAAGTTGAATCCTTGGAAGCTCTGGAAAAGAGATCGCAAGCTTGAATCCTATCGAATTTCTCTCTTTTTTTGTAGTCTACTCAAGTCTTTCCCAACCTGGACACAACTATGGCTTCAGTTGCAACACCTATACTGGAAATTACCAATTACGAAAGTTTTCCACAAGAACGCCATATTGAAAGCATCACAAATGATGAGAATCGGTATGTGGCTATACCCAGGACACATTTACCAACGATCAACGCAACACTCGACCGGTCTTTCAAGTCCTCGGACGTAGCATGCATAGCATGGGCTCTTGCTGTGCGATGCTACACGTGCGATTCGGTGACATTCGCGTTGGAGGATTGCCACCTCAAACGCCTCATTTCTGTGTATTCCTCCGAATTTCAGACCGTGAAAAGTGTCCATGATGCCATCCGAGCACAATTAGCGAAATCGGACTCTAGTTCCAAAAATCTTGATGTTGAAGAAAACTCTAGCCAATTGTTTAGAAGTCGTCTGATAGATCACGGCGAATTGAAAAAGCGTTCCATGCTGGATAGAGATTCCCTGGAACACGTATCAGAGGTAAGACCGAAAAGATTTCTGTGCCGAGAAATTGAATAATTTTGACGTCTTGATAGTATGATATTACAGTGCATGTTAGTCATGTCGCCAATGAGCTCGAAATTGTGCTTGCATACAAACCATCTGCCGAGGATTTAGCTATGAGCACTGCGGATACATTGTGTCAAACACTAGATATGGTGGTCAACCATCCCAGCGCTGATCTTGCAAAGGCGAACTTCCTCGGACCCAAAAACCTACGGATGATTTCCGAATGGACGTCGAATCCAGCAGATCCCTCCGTGGCCTGTGCGCATGAGCTGTTTAGAAGGCGCGCTGAATTGCAACCAGGATCATTGGCAATCGACTCTTGGGATTCTCAGATGACGTATGGAGAACTTGATTCTCTGACAACCCGTCTTTCATTCCTCTTAGTTGAAGCTGGGGTTAATCCGGATATTATCGTCCCACTCTGCTTTGAGAAATCCGCGTGGTATGTCGTTGCGATGATTGCCGTTCTAAAGGCAGGCGGCGCTTTTGTACCCCTAGACCCAGCCCATCCACCAGCTCGACTTCAGGAGATCGTCAGCCAAGTCAATCCTCCCGTGATTCTGACTTCCTCGAAAAATAACTCACTCTTCACGCACGTTGACGTCAATAAAATCATTATCAATGATGACTTGGCATCGCGACTTCCCACTCAGCCATCGGAAGATGACAGAGTATCAAATGTAACTCCCGAGAATTTGGCCTACGTGATTTTCACATCTGGCAGCACTGGCATGCCGAAAGGCACTATGATTGAGCACCAATCCTTTTGCAGCGGTGCTTTGCGCCAAGGAGAGGCAGCACGGATGAGTTCAAATTCACGTATCTTCCAATTTGCATCGTACGCGTTTGATGTCAGCATTCTTGAGATACTCACTGGCTTGATCTTTGGAGCATGTATCTGTGTGCCGGATGACCAGCTGGATCGCGCGGATCTCGCTCGATCAATGAATGATTTCCGAGCTAATTGGGCTTTCTTGACTCCGTCAGTTTTGAAAATAATATCACCAGAGCAGCTGCCACTCTTAAAAACTCTTATTGTCGGTGGTGAACCTATGTCACAATCGGATATAAGCACATGGGCGGGCAAGCTCCAGTTGATGAATGGATACGGACCCAGCGAATGTTCCGTTGCTGCTGCTGCCAACACTGACTTGACACCGCATTCAAGTCCCCAAAACATTGGGAAAGCTATAGGGGGTAATTGCTGGATTGTAGACCCCAATAATCACGACATCCTTTTGCCTGTCGGCGCTGTTGGTGAACTCCTCATCCAAGGTCCAATAGTCGCTCGTGGGTACTTGAATGATCCAGCGAAGACGGCAAGCGTTTTTATCACAAATCCGGCTTGGTATATGCATCGCAACAATCACCTGTGGAACAGGTTCTACAAGACTGGTGATCTAGTGCGTTACGATGCAGATGGTCTGCTTCATTTCATTGGCCGCAAAGATCATCAGGTCAAGCTCAATGGTCAGCGCATGGAACTAGGGGAAGTAGAGCATCATCTGTGGACGGATAGTCACGTTCAATACGGCATAGCTTTGGTTCCAAAGTCTGGTGTCTGTAAATCACGCTTAGTAGGCATCGTCTCGCTTCAGAGCCAACTGTCTGCTACACCGACACAGGAAAGTCGCGAATTTCATCTGCTTAACAACGAACAGGTGACAACGGAACTTGACGACATTTCCAAGCGCTTGGGTAATCTTTTACCACCGTACATGGTTCCAACCATTTGGATACCATTGGATCATTTCCCTATAACCTCATCGGGAAAGCTTGACAGGAAAGCTGTTACAGAATATGTGACACACATGAGCCTGGAAGCTTTCCAATCTCTGATGGGCAGTGTAGACAACAACAGCGACAGTAAGTCTCTTTCTCAATCAGAGAAATTTGTGCGCAAAATATGGTCAGATATTTTAAAATTGTCTGAAGATAAGATCCACCAAAACAGTACGTTTCTGAGTCTGGGTGGTGACTCGATTACGGCCATGGCAGCGACATCAGAGCTCCGGAAATTTGGCACCAAGGTCACTATTGCCGACATTTTGAAACATAATCTAACCAAAGTGGCTGATATACTGGAAGAATCAGCCATTGCAGGAATCTTTCAGGATGGTGATGTTGATAAGAAGACACAAGAACTTCCAGTTTCGCCTTACCAAAGACTTCTACTCGACCGGTTGTTAGAAGGAGATACGAACTTGCACCATGTTACTTGGTTCAAGTTGGAGCAGAAGTCTCGCCTACGTCAAATCATCCATGCCTTCGATAGCATTGTATATGCACATCCAGCACTTGGCTCGCATTTTTACATGAAGGATGATCTCTGGCTACAGAGGTTTGTGATTCACGATGAGCTCGATACTCCCTCTTACCACTTGAATGTCAGCCACATCAGTGGATTGCATGAGCTACATGACACGCTTCATCATCGCCAGGCTACACTTGATACTTTTGGACATCCAAATTTTCTAGTGGATGTATTTATCGCCCATGACGCCCAGTATATATCAGTGGTCGCACATGCGGCAGCAGTAGACTCGCACTCCTTGACTGTCATCGTCAATAGCCTGCGAGATACTTTGAAAAGTCTTCCCGATGATCTTGGTGTGCAAACGGAACACGGCTCGAAACTTCGTCAAGATTTCTTCGATTCTTGGAACCACTTCCTGACAACCAACACAAGTGGACGAACAGTCTTCTTCGGAGCAAGTAACTCCAAATCGACTGCGAGTACATCAGCTGAAGTCTTTCCATACGTTAGGAAAAGGTTCCAACTTGACGCGAGTCACAGCTGCCTTCTCAAGGGGTCATGCAATTTAGCATTCGATACCACTGAAGACGAGCTCCTCCTTACGGCGCTGATTCTTTCATATGAGCAAACACTTAAGAGTCACGACCCATCGAACACACCTGTGATTCTAGTCGAAGATGAGAGGATTACCAGCTTATCAAACCCAAATACCAAAACTTATATTGGGCAGTTCTCTTCTACTCGACAGCTTAGAGTTCCTGTCGAACGTGACACGCTCATGACACGTCAATTCATCCGAGAAATAAAAGACAAAATACGCCTCTCAGGGTCCTTTAGCAGTCAGACAGAGACATTACACTCCCTGGATATCGTTTTCAAGTATCTGGATCGAAGTAAAGTTGAGGACTACCCCTTTGGTAGACCTCTAGAAACCGCAGACCTAAACGGAAGATATGATTTTATTGTCTCAACGCCACTAGAGGTTGCAGTTACATTTTCAAACAAACAGTTCGAGGTCGTCATCCTGTCTACAAAGGACCAAGAATCCAAATTATCACTATTCAGTGATAAGTACCAGGAGAACCTTCTAAAGATTATTGAAATCACGTCTTCCAACACCCAACGTGAATTCACTCTGGCAGACCTACCTCTGCTGTCATTGGATTATAAAGCGCTGGACAAGCTTAATCACGAACAATTATCAAAGTTGGAGCTTGATGTTGACGATGTGGACGATATCTACCCCTGCTCGCCAATGCAGAACGGTTTACTAATGAGCCAGGCTCGACATCGAGGAAGTTATGACATTTCCGTTGCTTGGGAGGTTTCTTCCAGTGCAGACATCGGCTACATTGACATAGCTAAATTAGAATCTGCATGGCGAACTGTCATCAATATACATCCTGCCCTAAGAACCATATTCATCAGCGGATTCGATGGAAAAGAGGCATTTTTGCAAGTCGTTCTGAAGAAACCTCGAATTCAAACCTCGGTTGTAAGAGAGGTTGATGCTGACATTGAATCCATACTGAATCAAAGCGTCGACTTGGAGTCACAGCCACTAACACCACCTCATCGTTTTGCCATCTATGTCACAGAAGGCGGAAAAGTCTTTTGCCGAGTGGATGCTAGCCACACAATTATAGATGGCGTATCAAAGTCTCTGATACTGAAGGACTTGAAGCAGGCCTACGATGGCGAACTTCTATCCGGCTCTCCTGGTGTGAAATATAGCGACTTCATACGATATATAAATACGAATGACTCCCCCGCTAGCATCTCATTTTGGAAGAAGCACCTTTCCGGAATCGAACCATGTTACTTTCCTGTCTTGACATCGGAGACAACTGCTCGTGAGCTTCGAGATGTTTCGGTGGTGTTAGAGCCTTCAGTTGAGGCCATCCATAATTTCTGCGCCTCGCATAATATTACTGTTTCCAACCTTATCCAGACAGTTTGGGCTCTTGTTCTTCGATGCTTTGTTGGCCGCGATGACGTGTGTTTCGGCTATCTCGCATCGGGCAGAGATGCACCAGTTGACGGAATTGTCGACATGGTTGGGCCTACGATCAGTGTTTTAATTTGCAGAGCGGCTCTAGATGATTCAAGTACCATCAAGGATGCCCTAAGAACGTGTCAGATGGAGCTTCTCGACTCTCTTTCACATCAACACTGCTCACTTGCCGAGATACAGCATGCTCTCGAGCTTTCTGGTATGGCCCTGTTTAATACTGGAATTTCCTTCCAGGCTATCTCGGCGATGGACAAAAGTATCGAGACAGGTTCAATCAACTTTCAAGATATTGTCGTGAGGGAGCCGACGGAGGTGAGCCATAATGCAATTTCTCTAAATATTAGAACTGACATGCAATAGTATAATATCGCCTTACACGTCACGGATTCACCCAACAGCTTGGACATCAAATTCGCATACTGGACAGACTGCCTCTCTCAGTCTCAAGCACAATCAATATCGGGTACTTTCTCTTCCATCTTGAGTAGCATCATAAGTGGACTAGACTCCAGGGTCGACCAGCTCAATTATGTGGGCGCACACGATTTATCACAAATTGCTGCTTGGAATGAAGAAGAAGTCGAGCACTCGAATGTGACCATTCCTGATATGATATATCAGCAAATTTCGAAGGCACCAAATGATGTTGCAATACAATCTACAAGCGTTACTCTAACGTACGAGATGCTTGGTAAGATGGCTTCAGATTTGTCCAAACAACTGGTCCAAGCTGGCATTGGCGCCGGCCATTTTGTACCTCTAGCATTCGAGAAATCAGTGTGGGCTATTGTATCGATGGTTGCTGTTCTGGCCACCGGGGCTGCATTCGTCCCTATTGATCCTGCAACGCCAATCGAACGATTTCGTGAAGTTATCGACCAAACTGGTGCCAAGTTTCTTCTTACATCCTCAAAGTATGCTCATAAGCTGAAGGAATTGGGACAGACCACCATTATCGTGAATGAAATTACTTTGAAAGCTGGAGATAAAATCACAATTTCGCAAGAAGAGCTGGATCGTGTGCGTCCGAGCCCTCACGACGACGCGTACGTTATCTTCACTTCGGGTAGTACAGGAAAACCCAAAGGATGTGTCGTACAACATTCCGCCTTCTGTTCTGGCGCGCTGGTTCAAGGCAGGCTTGCCTCACTCAGCCCTGCGTCCCGCGTACTTCAATTTGCTTCCTACAGCTTTGATGTCAGTCTCCTAGAAATTATGACATCTTTGATGTTCGGAGCATGCATTTGTGTGCCAGATGAGAATTTGAGCAAGGATATCAAGCGCTGCATTAACCAATTTTCGATAAATTGGACTTTCTTGACGCCTTCCGTGCTTAAACTTCTCGATCCAGCAGACGTTCCATCTCTGAAGACCTTGATCCTTGGTGGAGAGCCATTATCTAAAGGCGACATTCTGAAATGGGCCGACAAGGTGCAGTTATATAACGGATATGGGCCCAGTGAATGCTCCGTGGCTGCCGCAGCAAATCCGAAATTGGATCCCAACACTGATCCTGCCAATATTGGACGAGCCATAGGTGGCGTTCTATGGGTTGTTGATTCCAAGCAGCCGTCTAAGCTCCTGCCTATTGGAGCTGTTGGCGAGTTATTAATTTCGGGTCCTATCCTAGCCAGAGGATATTTGAATGCGCCTGACAAGACAGCGGCAGCTTTCGTTGAGCAGCCAAGTTTCATCTCCTCTTCAGCCGGAAAGGAACGGTTCTATCGAAGTGGTGATCTTGTACGCTATAACACGGATGGTACAATCCATTTCATTGGGCGATCCGATGGCCAGGTGAAGATCAGAGGTCAGCGTGTCGAGCTGGGAGAAATCGAGTACAACATCGAACGAGATGAAAATATTCAGCATGCTCTCACGCTACTGCCTTCCCGAGGCCCCTTCAGAAAGCAGCTACTGGCTGTCGTTTCATTCAAGGATCTTCGGTACTCAACATCAAGTACTAACGACATATGTCTCATACCGGAGGAGCACAGACTAGAGGCAATGGAAGTGACCACAAGGATTTCGGACACGATATCCTCTGTTCTCCCCATATACATGGTCCCCGCCTTGTGGGTAGCGGTCAACAGAATGCCAATGTTACCGTCCGGAAAATTGGATCGCAAAAAAGTCAGAGCATGGATCGAGAGCCTGGACGACTCAACCTACGAGCAAATCGCCAATATGGGCTCTCAAGCTGTAGGCAGGAGCCCAAGTACGCCTATGGAGAACCTTCTTAGAGCAATTTGGGCCAACGTTCTCAATCGACCAGAAGAGCAAATCAGTATGGAGAGATCGTTCCAGAGCTTAGGTGGCGATTCTATTTCCGCAATGCAGGTCATGTCCAAGTGTCGCAATGCCAAGGTATCCTTGAGCGTCAAAGATATACTTCAATGTCCTACAATTGAGCAGCTCGCCCTGCGAGCACAACCCTTGGATAAGGATGTGGATTCTACTGAAGAACTCGGCATGACTCCATTCAATCTGTCCCCTCAGCAGACTTGGGAATTTGGTCTAAAGGCTACCTGTGATCTCAATCGATACAACACAACGTTTCTCTTATCCGTTCACAGTGACCTTGATATCTTACCATATCTCGATGCCACAGTAGAACGCCATCCCATGCTACGAGCTCGTTTCACCCGCGATGATACAGGTCACTGGGTCCAGTACATTCCACTGGATCGTTCCAACAGCTATCTATATCAGACTCTGGAGGTCCCTGACATGGAATCCATTAAGCCATTTATCGCTCCGAATCAACCTGGATTCGATTTGCAGCAAGGTCCTCTGTTCCGTGCAATAACTTTCCAACTTCCAGATAAGAAGCGTTTCGTAGCTTTGACCGTTCACCACATGGTCATTGATACAGTGTCATGGAGGATACTCTTGCAATCCCTGGAGCAGGGCCTTGCAGGCGAAGATATTTCATCTGGGCCGTCCGACTCGTTTGCTCTCTGGTGTCGACTGTTGAAGGAACGCGCAGAGAAGGAGTGGACGCCCGAGACCGTTTTGCCATTCCAAGTCCCAACACCAATGTACGACTATTGGGGAATGGCCGAATCAAAAAATTTGTTTGAAACGGAGGTCATCGAAGAATTTACACTTGACTCGAAGGTTACAGCCTTGTTGATGGGTAAATGCAATGAGCAATTCAGGACCAAGCCACTGGACATATTTCTGGCTGCACTTTCCTACGCGTTCAGCTCAACTTTCTCTGATCGCCCCTTACCAGCTTTCTTTGTGTACAGCCACGGGCGTGATGAGTTTGGGGGCAACCTAGACATCTCTAACACAATTGGATGGTTCACCGCATCAACTCCTGTTGTCGTTTCGCCGTCGAACAACATAGTTGAGAGTCTCCAAGCTGTGCGAGACGTACGCGCCAGTGTCCCCGGTAACGGCGTCCCATATTGGGCAAGTCGCTGGCTTTCCGAGGCGGGAAATGCGGCCTTTGCACACCACAGTCCGTTTGAATTCTCGATGAACTATTTGGGACAGTACCAACAGCTAGAACGAGACGACTCACTTTTGCGCTATGTCGATCTGGAAAAGCCCAAGGCTCAAGGCTCTGGCTCGCGGCTGATTCGCACTGCTCTGGTAGAGACACAGGCCATCGTCATTGCAGACTCACTTCAGGTAAAATTTGTTTACAACAGTTTGATGGAACGCCAGGCTCAATTACGAGAATGGCAAGAAAATGTGAAGAAGGGATTGTTGGAAATTGCGCAACGCCTCGGCGAGAGCAAGTAGAACTGGTATTACTTGATTCAAAGTTAAATGTTCCTTGTCTTTTGGTTAGAATATTTGCTGGATCTAGTGTAGAAATAGTTCTTCTCATGAGCACTTTATATAGTATACGAAAGACTTTGTCGTTGATCAGAGTCCATACATAACAAGTAAGAGCTGGTATCGTAACAAGCTGGCAATCTGTTGGATAATCCATCTATTCCAATAAGGCAGAGATCAACTACATCAATCCCCATTTGGGCCCCTAGATTTCAGCCCAATATTTACCCCTCATGATAGCTCACAAATCATCCCACCAAGAAAGGTCTATAAAAATCCCGGCTTTGGAACCTCATATACTCAGAAGAGAGGAACAGAACAGATACAATCTTGCTAGTCACTTCTTATTTTACCATCCTTATAAACAATTTTTCAGGATTGGATTAGAGTTAACCCATCATTCC